TAGTACGGCCAGGAGCCCCTAGTAGCTACTTGCTCCTAGTAGTACGGACAGGAGCCCCTAGTTACTAGTTGAGGAAAAGACCAAAAGACCCAGCCATGTGAGGCTTGGGGAGTGAGCATGTGAGTCACAATGGTTTGCTCTAACTATTCCTAATCCACTTCTTGCTGTGGAACTCTTTGACCCACCAAGGACTTTACCCAAGCCTGCATCAGCTGCAACTGGCCTTGCGGACGAAAGGCCTAGACAAAAGGATATTGACGCGCCAGTCAACGACCAGATGGAGGTCCAGGACCTATTTAGTTTACACTTGTTTACACTCTTTCCTAAGCACTTCTACGAGAGGATGAGGCAGTTGCATAACAAGTTGCTCTATGGTTGATATGTTCCATTCAAGTACGTAGACACCGGCACCAACAGAAGACACACCTCGTCTACAACAGCCACTTTCGGACCTGGGAAGTGCAACTGAATCACGTTTGATCAGTGCAAAAATCAACCCCAGTGACCTGTTGGAGGAATCATACATGTCTTCCTCCAGCAAGTGAGTGTTTCTTGGGGCGTGGTTGTTCCATGTTGTTCACTGCAAACTTGGGACTTCATAGTCGGTCAACTGATACCATGATGGCAGTTTGCAAAGCCACCGAAGGCTTTGCAAACCCCCACTATCTTTGGATTCCTTGCAACCCCATTCAAAAAAGGCTTCAGAACTGTCGCAGTCCCCAAGGTTGATTTCACGACCAAACCTTCCAGAACTGAATATAGATCACAAACTGTTTGCGCCAGCGAGGTGTTAAGTTGCTTGGGGACCGTCGTTCGTTGTTTCGGGGGAATTAGCGCAGAAGGAGTGTTTTTGACCCTTGCGGACCTCTGAAGAATTGGTTGTTCAGAACTAAGAGAGGGTATAAAACACGTCTTGTTTTTTTTGCGTTGTTAGTGGCAACATACGAGACCCAAAGGACTATTTCATAGGTTTGTTTGTCTCGTGAGTGGTGAGTGAACGGCCATGGTAAAAGCTTTGTAGACGTTGTAAACCTTTGTAAGTTTGTTTGTAATTCAACAACTCTGTCAACTCTTTGCAAAAGTTGCAAACTTTGTACAAATTCTTAAGACTTTGTGAACGTTTGGTAAACTTTGTATAACTTTGTAAAAATACAAAACTTTGTAAACGTTCTAAAAACTGTGTAAAACGTTGCTCTAACTTTGAAGAATAATTTGAAGAACTCCAAAACTTCGTAAAAGGTTTGTAAACCTTTTTACAAAGTTTGCGAATTTTACAACGTCTTAATAAAGTTTTACCAAGTTCTTACACAGTTTTACAAGTTTAAAGGTTGACAAAGCTTACAAAGTTTGACAAAGTTTAAAAATGTTTTACAAAGTCTACAAAGTGTTGACAAAGTTTACCAAGTTTATACCAAGTTCACTACGTTTTTACAAAGCTTTCAAAGTTGGTACAAAGTTTACAAAGTTTTACACAGATTTTATGAAGTTTGCAAAGTTTTGAAAGTTTTACAACCGTTTACCAAGTTTACAAAGTTTTACAAAGTTTACAATATTTTAGCACAGTTTACAAAGTTTTGAACAATTTCCAAAGTTTACCCAGTTTACAAAGGTTTTACCATTAAAAAATCAATTAAAGACGTATTGAAAGTTTTACAATGTTGCTGTAATGTTGACAAAGTTTTTACAAAGTTTACACAGTTTTGCAAAGTTTTGAAAGTTTACAAAGCTTGTACAAAGTTTATAAAATCTTTACAAAGATTGCAATTTTTACAATTTTACATGGAGTTTTTTCAAAGTGTACAAACATTTGCAAACTTTACATAGTTTACAAAGCTTTCACAAAAGTTGCAAAGTTTATACAGTTTACAGAGTTTTTGCACAGCATTGAAAGTTTACAACGATTTTAGAAAGCTTTGGAATTTGACAAAGTTCTTGCAAAGTTCGGAATTTTCACTGTTTTTCAATGTTTACAGAGTCTACAAAGTCTCACAAAGTGTTTACAAAGTTTTCAAAGTTTGTACAAAGTTTACAAAGTTGTACAACGTTTTTACAAAGTTTACAACAGCTTTTTCAAGTTTACAAAGTTTTTACAAAGTTTACAAAGTTTTTACAAAGTTTACAAAGTTTTTACAAAGTTTACCAAGTTTTTACACAGTTTACAAAGTTTTTACAAAGTTTACAAAGTTTTTACAAAGTTTGCAAATGGCTGGTGAAAAAACACTTATGTTTACAACAAATGACATGAAAAAACACTTCTTTTCAATTAAAAAATCGTGCAAAAACACTTCTTTCACAGAACTTTACAAAGTTTTACAAAGTTTTTACAAAGTTTACATAGTTTACACAGTTTTTACAAAGTTTACAAAGTTTTTACAAAGTTTACAACGTTCTGACAAAGTTTGCGACATTTGCCTTTTGTTACACAAATTTACAAAGTTTTTACAAAGTTTACAAAGTTTTGAAGATTTTGGAAAGTTCACAAAGATTTTGCCAAGTTTACGAAGTTTTGCAAAGTTTACAGAGTTTCGACAAAGTTTACAAAGTTTTGACAACAATTACAAAGTTTTGATAGTTTATTTATTTGCAAAGTTTACAAAGTTTCTTTCTACATTTTACAAAGTTTTTACAAAGTTTGTACAGTTTCACAATTTGTACAAAGTTTTGAGGAAATTTACAAAGTGTTCAAAGTTTACAAAGTTTTCACAACGTTCACAAGGTCTTTCAAAATGTTTACAATGCTTTGACAAAGTTTACGAAGTTTAAAAACGTTTTACAAAGTTTGCAAAGTGCTACGAAGTTTATAACGGTCTTTTTTTAAATAGAGTTTACGAAGGCCTACAACATCTAAACAAATTTTACAAAGTTTACAAAATGTTAGTACAAAGTGTACAAAGTTTGCAATGTTTACAAACTTTTTGACAAAGTTCACAAAGTCTTGACAAAGTTTACAAGTGTTTTACAAAGTTTTGACAAAGTTTTCGCATTTTACAATTTTTTACACAAAGTTTTCGCAGTTTTTTACACAGTTTTACAAAGTGCACAAAGTTTTTACAAAGGTTTACGAAGTTTAAAGTGTTTCAGTGTTTAAAAAGTTTACAATCTTAACAACAGTTTACGAAGTTTTGACAAAGTTTGCAAAATTTGTTCAATCTTTACACAGTTGTTGCAGAGTTTTGAAAGTTTACAAAGTTTTAGAATTTCACCAAAGTTTCTACAAAGCTTACACAGCTTTTACAAAGTTTACAAAGTATTTACAAAGTTCTTACAAAGTTTACAACGTTTTGCAAAGTTTTCAAATAGTAAAGTTTACAAAGTTTTGACACAGATTGAAAAAAAAACGAAACTTTGTAGAAAGTTTGTAAGCATCAAAAACTTTTGTAAAAGCTTTGTAAAAATTTTCAATCTCAATAACTTGGTAACAACTTTGTGAAATTCCAAAACTTGTTCAAAGCTTGATAAATGTCCAAAGCTTTGTTCAGATATCTAAAGGTTCAATACCTTGTAAAAACTTCGTAGTTCCAAAGTTTTGTAAAATTCAATGTACTGTAAGTGTCCAAAAACTTTGTGAAGTTTGTTATTTCTATCTTTAAACTTTGTAGACTTTGTTAAAACTTTGTAATGCAAAAACTCGGTAAACAAATTGTAATTCCAAAACTTTGTCAAATGTTTGTAAAGATCCAAAACTTTGTGAACACTTTGTAGGAAGTTTGTTTGAAGACCTGCGAAAGCTGTTCAAGAAGAGCTGATCTTTTGATTAGTGAGACTGCTTGCATTGTTTTGTTAAAAAAACGGCATTTGGTGCTTGCGCTTTGGGAATTTGTGACTGATGGCTGTAGTGTTTCAGGGTATTGAGGGTGAGAAGAAGGGTCGAATGGTTATTGGTTGTGCAAGTGTTTTAAGACTTGGCCACGGAAACACCAAAACACTTCTTTCATTTTTTCCAAATAACATTGGTGCAAAACACTTCTTGCGAGCAAAAGCACTAAACTCAAGCAACTTAACACAGCGAGGTGAACACAATCTAGTACAGTAAACAGAATTGACCAACAAAAGTCGGTCACTGTTCATTTGTTGTTCAGGCGACCACTATGCGAACATCCACCACGACGACCACCACAGTGACCACTAGCAGCACGAGCACTTCAACCTCCACCAGCACTTCGACCAGCACCGTAACTGGTGACTTCGACCAGCACAAAAAGCAGCGTCGGGAAGCCGTGGTTGTGGTTCCCTAGGAACCAGAAGCTACTAGGGGCTCCTGGCATCGCTACTAGGAGCAAGGACGCTACGAACGGGGCTCCTGGCCTTACTACTAGGAGCAAGAGGACGTGGTTGTGGTTCCCTGGTGCTTAGCTTTGGTGGGGAAGATTACCAGTCGGCAGGGCTGTCGAATGGTTCCAGAAAGTGGAAAGCCGCGCGGGGCCTCTAAGAAGCATGCATATACAGAGTATTTGTTTTCCCTCCATGGATGTATGAGTCTGCCCGGAATTAGGGGACCCTCAATTTGTGGGTGTTTGAGCACTTTCTTTCATTGCACCGTTTCTTAAGCACCTTCTGATTCCGAGACCCACCCCTTTGGCTCTGAGTCCACTTCAAATTGGAGCACCCCAGGCAACAGGTGTTCTTTTTTCAGCACTACAGGCTTCCGAGAGGGAAAATAGATTGCTTTTTGCTTGGTAAAGTGGTGCCAACAACTGTGCTTGCCCGAAATGTGCTTGCTTGATGCCGGTTTTCTTTCGAAGACACGGAACATGCCGATCACTGACCGGGATGTGATGACTCCCGGCAGGTTCCGGTAGATGACCATTGCGGTACAGGTACATGTTGTTTTTCCATGGGTTTTTGGAGTGTTTTAAGACTTAGCATCATTGGTGATTTGTGGAATGGTGCCAGAATGCTCTTAATCAATTGAGATATATTGAGATTATTTGAACCGACTTTGGTGCATTGTTGATTATGCAAAAAGGCCTGCGTCCGGCTCTGTTGTGCAGCCGATGTCTCTCCACCGTTTGCATTGTTTCTCGTTGCTTCCGGAAGGCATTGAGACTGCGTCGGGCGTTTCACTGACGCTGGCCTCGGACTACACTGTGGACGGGGTGGTGGAAAGCTCAGGGGGGGCATTGGATGGGATTGGTTTGGTTCGCATCGGGCGATGGAACCAAGGATTGGCTTCACACATGGGTTTCTTCGCGAGAGTTGCTTGAGATGATTCAGGACCAAAGAGACCTTACTGGTTACTAGGAGCAAGAAGCTACTAGTAGCTCCTGGCACGAGAAAGACACATGCTTTGGCCATCCCATGCCATCTCTCACATCCCACAATGAAAAATGTTAAGAAAGCACTTGCAACTGGGTGAAATACCTCATGTTTTTGTTGAGGCTTACCTGATTCATCAGGGGTACCTAGGGATGTGAGGTGACTGAATAAACCCTGGGCTGGGCGTCTGGACATGTTGAAAATGTTTAACCAACTTATATATAACTTATTCTTAGGAGCAAATATCGGTTTGCAGTCCTCAGGGCAAACCTCCTTGCTACCGGAGTCTGTTTGCAAGATGGACCTTCGGTACGATATGTAAACCAATCTCTTCTTTAAAAGATCCATCCACTTCTCGGCTGGTGGCTGGGAGCGTGAAGTGATAGTGAACCGTTGCACATGCACCCCATTCTCTCAATCTGCCCAGAATTGTTCGGTTTGGGGCCGGTCGTTTTGGCATTGCTCGTGTTTTGCTTTTGAAAGGGTTGGACCTTCTGCCCGGGCCACGCGGCTTCTTTTGCATGCAGAGCAATTTTGGCGACTGATGGTCTCTCCAGTTGTCAGTCGGCAAAGAAGACAGGAAGCGACGTCATCTACCAACCCAACATGTCGCTTTCATCGACCAACGAGTCACGGCCTTGAGGGCGGACCAAGAGTCGAGTCTCATCCATCGCGGAGAAGTGTCGCACCGAAGATCAATGCGAGGTTCTGCCGAAGATGAAGCGGCGTGACACGCGCAGGTTTTGTGAAGTTTAGTCCGCCCACGCGGCGCGGTATGGTCGCAGAAGTGGTCGCGCGTGGTTTACTTCATGTTTGGGCCGTCCTCCTGGCGGAAGTTGCAGAAGGTTTTGGAAGGATGAAGTCACCGCTGAATAGCTATTGATAGGTGGCTGCTGCCCGCGGCCTGGTGTGGCACCTGTGCCACTTCATTCCAAAAGTGAAAGCTAAGGGTGACTTGATATTGAGAGGAAACAAATCCGGAAAGAAGCAGAAGAGCGTCGAAGATTGTCATATCCCTAAGAGTCCTTGGACGCTCCATGCAAGGGCTTGTACAAAGAACCAAAGCTATGACAGCCTGACAGCTATGAATTCATGGCAATGTGGCAATGATCATCAACGAGTGTTTTATAAATATCATATTTCTGGCAATCCATCCATTGTGGGTCCTAACCAGAGAACACAACGCGTCATGCAATGACCCTTTTGAGATTCCTGGGCTTTCACTATGGGGCAAATATCACCGAGAGCATGTATATCCGGCAGATTCTTCCGTTCAAATTGTCCGTTGATCAACCGCCTCCCCGCAGCCCCCGTCCGCATGCGGAGCCCAAGGCGGTGCCCGAGCGATGCTTCGAGTTCTGCAGCCTCACGGACGTCAGGAGACGAGCGACAGACAGTCCAGACCCCGATGCGACGATCCGACCCGATGAAAATTGGTAGGGACAAGATTTGTGTTTGCCAAATCCCTTTATTCTAGAAGTTGTTCATCTTGAAAAAAGGCAACAACAAAAGCAACAATAAAAAGCAATCACAAAATGCAGCCAGAAAAAAGAAAGCGATCATAAAAGCAACACAAATGCAAACAAAATTGCAAGCAAAAATGGAACAACGCGGCATGTTTATAACAAGCAAGAAACAACCTTTGCAACAAACTGCGTGCTGCTGAACAAAAGCACGGAGCACGGATTCAAAGGATTAAAGCGATGGGTGTCGCACCTTGTAGTTCCTAGGTCCTGTACTTCCTTGGCACCTGTTCCACGAAGGATGTCCTCCCAGACACAATCACTGCTACTGCTACTGTAGCTGTGAGCGACTGGGTGACTAACTGTACACCCCTCCAAAAACCGACTCTGGGGTGGCTGACATCTACATGGTCGAGGTTTCTGCACTCAGCCTTTTTTTGGTGCACGTGCACCAGCGCACTTTTGGTGGCGGAACTTTCTGGCACACTTTTGGTCGCTTCTTTTCGCTTATTGTTGTTCTGGTGCCAAAGAGCCTTGGCACACTACTGGTCGCTTCTTTTCAGGTGCCGGGTTTCTGGTGCACTTTTGGTCATTTTTTTTGCGTTGTTTTTTTCCTTGCTTGTGGCATTGTTTGCATCTGTTTGCTGTTTTGCGCGAAAAAACAAAAAAATCAAGAAACAATAGCGACCAAAAGTGTGCCAGAAACTCGGCACCAGAAAAAAATGCAACCAAAAGTGCGCCAGAAGCTCGGCACCAGAAAAAAAAGAAAACGACTCAAAGTGAGACGCTTGACCCTTGACCCTTGGCCCTTCTTCCTAACCCAGTACTAACGGCCTCTTCGCAAAATGTTAGAACGCGTTGAATTCCGAATCTGCAGTTAGTCTGTAGAGGCCCCTGCTAGTGACTAGTGGTGCGGGTACGAGGTAGTAGTAAGTAGCAGCCAGCAGCAGCAGCAGCACTTTATTGTTACTTTTTCTTGCACTTGGCTTTGCACTTGGCTTTGCTTGTGCTTTTTTGTTTGCACTTCTTTTTTTACTGTGTGTTTAAAGCTTCTCAGTTTCTAGAATAAAGCCACCTCTGGTGGACACAAGACAAGATGGGACAATGGTGATTGCTTGTGTTTAGATACGTGTGTTCGTGTGTTTGGGGATCATGACATGTTTGGACATGTCAACATGAAGATGTTCCGAACAGTTGGTGCATATTTGGAAAGCTTTTGGAATCAAATGACCTGCACCCAAATATGGCACTCAAGTACTGCTTCAAGATGTTGGAACGGCAAAATCGCGCTGGAATCTAATCAGAAGGGAGAAGGCAAGCCATGCCGGTTCCACCAAGATCCACCAAACCATGCCATGGTCTCCATGGCCTTACATTTGGCAGTCCCAGCTTTATGACCTTGGTTAGACCGGACCATGTCTATGGGGCTAACTTCTACGGTGGTTTTTCAGCATCTCCCATGTCTGATGCAGGAGCATGTTCCTGACTTGTGTGCAGCTCTCGCAGAGTTTGTGCACCTTGGACAGACGAACGCACGTGTGTTTCAGCAGGATGTTTGATGGATCAGAACCTTTGGTGGACACCTGCGAAAGCAGAATATGCCGCCGTTGCGGGTCTTGGGGGCTATGTTTGATTTATATATATATATATAGACCTCGGGGAGGCACTTGGGGTACAGATCGCCAGGCGAGGTTTGGAACACTGGAGGTTTGATGAGGTACATGGGGTAGTCGATTCTGTTGCATACTGGTGAAGCGCGTGATGCAGTGCCCAGAAAATTAACAGGCGGTATTGTTGAGGGACTAGTGACTAGTACCTCATTGAAATTACCATGCCTTCCAAAATTGTGCTATCGTGGGATGACATTGTTCCGTTGATCTATTCTAAGTGTAGGCTGGACCTGTGCAGTTGTTTGTTGCATCGCACAGGTACGGGATCGTACAAAGAAGTTTTTCTCATGCAGTCATCACTGCGAAAACAGATCATCATACTTGCCCCAACCCCCATGCACTTGAACGCCGACGGACTTGAGACATCATGCTCACACCAAGATCAAATTGGTTGTGCGCAAACCATTCCCCTAGCACGAGGCTGTTCAACCTATCCAGGCCCTTGAAGTGCTTCGGAAAACACATCCTTCGGAGCCCGGCGGTCACGGCGGTCAGCGCCAAGGCGAGTCGGGGAACTTCTACCAGACGGACGCCGTGGGCGACCGGCGCCATTGCCGTGGCATGGTGTAGAGGGAGCGGAGAGCAGGGAGAGGTAGAGTTGATAGACACAATCCTCCGATGGTGATCATGAAATTGTTGTTTGTTTTAGTAAAACAAATGTAAAGAACAGTATACTATACCAAGTGCAATACGATACCATAATACTTGCGCTCTCCAAAACCGAACACCGGACTGTCCAGTTGCAGACTTGGACTGGTCTGATCCGTTTTCATCGGCCCTACGCTTCGCCTGGGATGGGTGGACCATGGTGGACGCGAACGTCCGAACTTTCCCATCCACAGGTACGTGGGGGAGGTATAAGATCGCCTCAGCATCATTTGGATTGTGACCTATCACTTGCTTGACACCCCTACTACCCTGGTCCTCATGGTCCTCCAAATCTAATTGTTGGAACTTTGTGAGGAACTTCCACACACTTCTTACGGGGAACTTCCACGAAGCCTGAAGTTTCATTAAAGCAGTCCTCCAAACCAATGCTTTGTCAAGGAAACCACTTTCTCAGTGATCATCAGGGCGCACATACCTAAACCTCCGTGGAAAAGGACGTTGATGTACCAGGTGGGTGTCACGTTAGTTTGCTGAAAGGAGACATCGAGCCTCATCAAGCCTATGGATCCCAAAGAACCAGTAGGTGCAGTTGTTCTTGCACTTGCACTGTTTGGGTGCCGAGGATTTGATGAAGAGTGCTTTGTTGATGACTCCTTCGTATGCAACGCCAGCTGGCCGATTTGCCAAGTGCGGAAGCCAAGCCAGTCAAGCGAGCCAGTGCCGAGCGACCAGTGTATCATGTGATTCAAAGGGTGGTCTTGGTATTGGTTGGTGGTAGGAAGCTTGTTGGTTCGTTTGAAAGTCGATGATTCGCTTCGCTTGGAAATGATGCTGGTACGGAAAAGATGGGAAAAGTGATGTCCATTGCGACATGTTCTGCATGCTGGGAGCTAGGTTTGTCAAGCACCGCAGCTCGTTGGACTTCAGCTGAATGTTTGACGAAAAGAATTTCCAGGTCACTCAATGTTCGTCTTTTGGCGCCCAGTTGTGGGACTTAGTCGACTTAGTCGTCTTTGAGCTTGGTCGATTCTAATCACAAGGTTTGCTTTGCCTCGACGATCGCTTTAAGGTCTCTGTAGTGCCACCCGGCCGCCCGACAGCTCATTCCCGCTTCAGCCTCGACCCTTTCAAGGTGGCTGAAAGTTCGACAGCTTCAGCGGCCAAGTTGCAGATGTCGACATGCGGTGGTTTTGATACAGTGGGGTGGGAAGGAGGGAGAGGGCAGAACAACCTGGAAGGCTTAAAGACCAGACAATTTTAAAGTAGGCAAGCTTGAAAAGACACTATGTCTTCGTCAAACAGTTGATACTTGCAGTGGGTACCCGCTACATCTTATGCAGTTTACCGAACCAAAAGGTGGTCAGACAACTTGGTTCTTTTGTGTGACTCTTTTGGCTGAGGTGTGCTTGGTTTGGAGATTGGCTCGTGTTGTGTTGCCAAACAGCATCTTGCTTATATGTGCTACCTTAGCCTGAGAGTGCCGCCCTCAGAGTTCGTCGCGCTCTAACAAAGAACCATACAGAATAAAACAGCTAGATACTTGGGTTGGCGAAGCGATTCCACACTCAAAGACCTCCGCTGCGCCGCAGCCCGCAAAGTTGGTATTCACTGGAAGAACTTGTTTGGACGACCCTAAAGTCTGGTCATGTTGTGTCATTTTAAACATGTTTAGCCCGTTAAATCTATTCGATAGTGATTCACTTTATGTCAGTGCTGTTCTCTTCTTTAGAGGGTATTCCTTGTTTCCAATCCATTTTTTTTTACCTTTTTTTGCAAGATGCTTGCGTTCAACACATCGCACCGACCCATCTTGAGAAGTACCTTGATGTTCAGCTTGGAGCAGTAGAACCGTGCCACGCGCAGATACCTACCAGCCAAGGCTGAAGCATCAACCACCACGGAGTCGACCCATGAGAATTCTACAGAGACCTCTGTGAGCGAAGCATCGTAACTGGGCAGCCATGCTTCGCGCAGAAAGCGCACCACTTTGTAAAGATATGGGTTTTCACCACCATGTTCGGACACACTGTGAAACCTCCCAGTTTGAGCCCTGCGTGATGTTGGGGAAAGATACGGTGATGGTATGGACCCACAGCCACCAGGAGAGCTTTTGAAGAAGATCTCCAGAGTAGGTTAATGCACGAACGCCCTCTCCCATTGCTTTCATTTGCAATGTATATGTATATATATATATTTAGAATTACAGCAGGACAACTCAAGGTGGCACCTGTCACATGTACCGACACATCATGTATAATACCTCTACCCACTAAAGATGTGCCCCCTAAAGCATTTGCTATTTACGTTCACAGGGATTTAGTATTGTCAAACGGAACTGGGTCCAAGAACACCATTGTCTTGCAACATGTACACCTCCCCAGCACAATTAACCTGCAGGTCTTCTTTTAGGACTCACAGCTTTGTAGGTCAAAACCTTATGCCTCAAAAAAGGACAACACGACATCGAACCTGGGGGAAACCATTCCGATGTCCAATGTTTTTGGGTGCTCACAGTCTCTGCTTGAAAATAGCACATTCATAGAAGAAGCCAGCAACCTACTGTTGTTGGCAATTTGTTTGGGTGTGTCTTAAAGATTTGGTATGCCAACAGAGTGTCTGAGCCTGAATTTTGCTTGATCACTGTGATCTAATTTTGACGCTTGGCACGCTACTGTTCAAAGTCACCACACGGTTGCGAAGCACAAAGCGCGCACAGTTAAAGGTTAAATATACCAGCCGGTCAGTGGTCAAGAAATCTCATAGTCATAGTCCTTGAATGGAATGGATTTCTAACGAGAAACAATTGAGCTGGCATGATTCGGGTACCTTCCAAATCACTTGAAACCCAACGCTCGACCCACGGCTTACTGAGCGGCTTACTAACAGAGTTGCTATCATCTTTCCTGAACCCAAACATGTTGAAATTTGCCAACAAGAGGCAGGTGACCCCGGGCAAATGGAAATGAAACACATCATGTGAAACTTCGCAAAACAACCACATGTGAGATGATGTTGAACGCCTAGTAGCAGGTGCATCCCTACTAGTAATAAGTGCATTACTAGTAACAAGAAGCTACTAGTAGCGATTAGCGATGCACTTAGTTCCTAGTAGTTTGTCGTTCCTCTTTGCTCAAGACACATCGACCAAGCCGCGAAACCCTTCGTCCTCACCGAGGCACCTCCCCACCGGACCGCCGACGGACGGCCCGCAGACGGCCTCGCGGACGGTGGCATCCGAAATGGCCAAGGCGGTGGAAGCAGCTGCTGCCTGGATCGCGGATGAGTTGGTGGGGGGCATCACCAAAGTTCTGGTACGGAAGAAAGAAACACGTTCACCGGATTCGGAACACCTGGCAAATCGTTGGGTGCCCTTATGTGACCTTGCGATACCTTGCGTAGGAGTTCTTCCAACGCTTGAGACGTGGGTAATTCGCCCGAAACAGACCAGTCTGGAAAATCAGGTCACGGTCGCTCTTTGCGTGGGAAGCCACCGAAAGAATGTCACACATGAATGCACGAGCATGGACTCTGGTTGCCTCAGGCTGATGGATGTCCCAAGGGCCCAAGGGCATCATGTTGGCATTTGGGGCCTAGGCAATAGGCTCAAGTTTTGGCAAGATAACAGACATCAGGTCATCAGGATTCAAGAATGTGCTTCCAGGGTGCGAATGAGTGGATGACCATGTTTTCTTACTTTGGACCACGGGGTTGAGCCTTGAGCCTGTCCTTTTTCCAAGGCTCACGAATGCTTGGCTTCTGGTTCCACGGACCAAGACACTTGGAAGGGAGCTAATCAATCAGTTATGGATGGAAAAGTTGTGGCGGAGAGGGTAGTTTTCCAAGTTTCAAGGGAGGAGAAGCCCATGTTGCTTTGCCCTACGCATCGTGTTTTGAGGAAGTCTGGTGCAGAGGATGTTGTCTTGAGATGCCTCGAGGAATGAGGCATTCACTACTAACTCGTCGGATGTGGAGAACGTGGAGAACCACTGACCTGTCCTAGTGAGACATTTGTCCCCCTTGAGTGTTTTGTTCCGTGTGAGTTGCAGCACTGGCACGAATTGATACCTACATCAGTTGGTTCTTCACCTTTAAGCTTTTGGGGATTGGGTATACCTGCACAATATCAAGAAACAAGATGGAAAATGGCTAGCCGCCTCTATGTTCCAACATGGCCCACGATACCCAGGGGAGCTGGATTGGCCCTCAATCAATTCTTGCCGCTGCACAAGTCGAGCCACCAAAGAATCCGGTGAATGCAGTTCCTCGAAGTCGAAGACAATCAGCCTCTTCCACCATGCTGGTGACAAACCTCCCAGTTGCACCCCAAGATCAACATAGATCGACCACATTGACGACAAACCAATGAATTGTCACCACAATAAACCAATGTCTTCTGGCATCCGAAGTCTCCGTGCCGCGTCCTCGTTCTCTTCCTTGAGCCCCGAACCGAACCCGCGTCCGATCCCTACCGTCGGCCCGCTTGGCGCTCCGTGGCCGAGGCGCTGGTGCGGATCTTGAAACGCTCCGTGGCGCAGACGCCGCTCATGATTGCCTCCCCCGCGGAGCGCGCGCCGCTGGGGCCTTTTTCGGTGCCGCGGTGTCGGTGTCTCAGACCTTCTTTTGTATACACCCAGGAGAATATGGGTGTTGCGTTGAAACGAATTCTTTGGGGGCCAACAAAGAAGGGTTTTAGGATGAGATTCTCAAGCTTCGCATCGGCAGTGTCTCAGACCTCTAGAAGCTTCGGAAAGTACTCCGATGCAGTTCTAGGAAGTCCAATTCCACTGGCATCCCTTCATCACCCGAGTGAAACGAAGAAGAAAATATCCGGAGCAGGCAATCCGGGCATGGTGATCCAGCCATGTGGGCTGGGAGATTGCAAACAGTGTTGCTTTCATTGGCCATGGTCCTTATTTCACGTTGCTTTGAGTTGTTGACTTGAGATAGATGTTGGTAAAGCGTTCCCGAAAAAATCCACAGAGCAGATCTGATATCCATGTTATCAGCCCCACTCTCAGAAAAATGAAAACGTTCTCAGCAAATCGGACCTGTTGCATGTTGCACGAGATCTGTACTTTGTTTGAGCAGGATCATGTTTAACCAGTGTTAGCCCATGCCAAGCAAGTCAGGCCATCAGATTCAATCAGATACAGACCGACCTGGTAGAGAAAGGCATGTTACATGTTTGTAAGAGGTGCACCACCCAAAGTTCATCCATCTGAAGCGAATCACTGACCGCCTCATCCCCTTCGAATGGACCTTGCTCTCCCAAGGCTGAAGAAGGCCTTGGACGTGGCGCTGCTGATGGGTTTCTCCGAGGATCAGCTGAAGCAAGCCTTCACCCGAGCAGGTGTCGCCCTGCCAGGCGGAATGGACATGTCACGAGAGACCGACCGGTCTGATGGTTGTTGGCTAGGCTGAAAGTTGGACGGATCTGATCATCTGATATGATTTGATGGTGTTTTTTACAGTTTTTGAATGTGATGCATCGCTGGCGTGGCTGGGTTTGGATCTGCTAGAAGGATCAAGAAGCTGCTCCTCTTTGGTACGGGTGCCAGCTCACCTTCTGTTGGGGTTTAGCTGACGGCAGACCGTCCTTAGCATACCTGTGCAGCATTCCGAATGTGTCAAAACATCCACACCAACAAGCGGACGGACACCTCAGACACGCCAGCGCAGGTGACGACGGCAACCCACTCTTTTGCGCGTCCCTTTGTTCGAAGAAGAAACCTGGATGTGCAGATCATGCGATTTCTATGACCATTTGTGGTCGTCATGGTCGTGCAAGTCCCTTAAGGATATTCCTTCGATGACACAGCTGTTAGTTATAGGAACTATGAAGTGGGTGCAGTTGTCCTAACCCTCTTCAATTACACGTGTTGCTTCAACATGTATTAATCAACTATTTGCTTCAGCACCTCATGAAAGCGGGAAGAGAGTGCTATCATTCTTCGACACATGCGGTGATAAGTCATGATTCCCAGGAGTTGCCTATTCTGTTCATGTTGGGAATGTGAACTACATATTGGGAATGTTCATGTTCCTGTGTTTTGACCGCGGAGCATATTTGGGAGTGCCCCCTTCCATTCTCGTTCTTTGTGTTGCCATCCACACTCGCCTCTCAGGAAAGTCTCTGCTTGTGATGGCTGCAGCCTGCAGCAGTGCGCCACTGGCGATTTCTATGTGGAAAACGCCCTGTGCGAAATGTCTGAGGATGAAGACACATGGCCCGTTTGGGCGCAAAAGATGGGTCAATGTCGGATTACACAACCCTCCTGTCCTATCACACTGGCCTCCAATAGCCAAAGATTCATGGCCATGCCTCAAACATGTCCTAGTGCCTCTGAAATAGGGCATGAGTCTGCATGAGGAAATACCCTAGAGGCAGGCAGGGAAGCCTGGCAAAGCCCGAACCCATCCAGTCTAGCTTTCAGAGCTCAAAGCACCTTGAGAACAGTCACAACGCATCTGCGAAATATAGACCACCTAGCCAAAGGCTTTCAAAGGAGCATCTACTTCATCACATCAGCCACCCTCACCAGCCCAGGATCGCTGTATCCAGGGCACCCGCTTCTCCTGCAACGTCTCCTGCGCGCACGAGCAAGTGGAAGCAGATGAAGAGAAGTTGGCACCGGATGTGTTGCTCGGAGGAGTGCGGAGGTTGGACCCCCAAAAAGCTCAGTTGGATAAAGCCAACCTGAAAAACAGTGCTGGTGAAGGGACAGCAAGGATCCAGTGGGGAAAACGCATCCTGTGGGAAGCATTTTGCAGTTGCTATTCCTGTTTGGCCCAGAAACGCCGCATATGCAGGTCACCTGTTGAAGCTGACGGGTAAATTGTGAGCTGCCAGGGCTGCTGTGGGTGTCCTCCAAACGGTTGTCCCGTTGGATATTATTTTAGCTATCGGATAGCTAAGTCGCCAAAAGCTATCCGATTTGTTTTTAATGATCATTCCGATTCCTATGCACAAAAATTAGTATTGTATTTGTTGTTTTGGCCAAGGCCTTTCCATGCCTAAACGATTCTTTCATATGGTAAGGCCAGGATCCCTTGCTATAAAGAAATCAAAAAGGGGTAGTGGCAAAGTCAAAGTCAAGAAAAATCAATTGGACAAGTAGAAAACAAGTCGAACAAAAAGGTCAACAAAAGTGTCAACATGTCAAAACAACTCAAGATTAACCAAAAAAAACAAACAAACCAAAAAAACAACTCAAGATTAAAAAACAAAAAAACAAACAAAAAGGGAGTAAAACAGTTTAAACAAAAGTCAAAATTAGAAAACATCTCAAAAAAAATAAGTCAAAAGAACAGGTCAAACAACAGTCAAAACAAGTTGGCAAAAAATCAAAAACAAAATCAAAAAAAGGTCAGATCTGGGCCGATTAGGCCAATCGACTTTTTGTTTGACTCTTATTGAACTTTCTGAAACTTTCTGATTTGATTTTGTTTGACTTTGACTTTTGGCACCGACTACTATGTTGACTTTGTGACTTTGTTTTGACTTTTACAAAATTGAAAACAGTCTCTCTCCAATGAAAGAGTATCTAACGATCATATCCTGATGGGACCGACCAACGGTTCCTCACGGTGCGTCGCGGCGCGTACCCCAGGTTTTGCCGCTCGCTGTGTGCGAAGAAGGCGGTCCCTCGGCAGGTTGGCCATAGGCCCTCCGTCCTGGTCCTCGTGGGAAGAGACCGGGCGTCCGATCAAGCCGAAGATGGACGGCTTGTGGCCGACGTTGCAGGTAGCCTTCCACGGTCAATATGTCAATGGTTTTTAATAGTTAGGGGGATTAATGGATCCAGTGTTTTGAACCATGGTACCTTTAAAGATGAGCTCATGGAAACCTTCAACCAGGTCCTTTTATCTCATATGATAGATTTCCTACCATCAAAATACATCAAAATACCATCAACCATTAGCAGTGCAGTATAAACATCCAGGTCCAGGACTTCAAGGCCTACACAACCATGCCCAAAGTTAAGGCCCTCCCGGTACTTACGGCTGGTGACTGCTGGGTGAAGGGATGGGCTTCCTTTCTTGACCGGATGCAGACTGGCAGGGGCTTCTGGGCAGACCACCCCCAAAAAAGAACCCACGCTACACTCTGGGACGTCCTGGACGGCAGTTGCAGCGCACAGCGGTGTAGCCCAGGTGGTGCACTGCAGCGCCTTGTTGGATGAGGACTGCAAATCAGACCGGTGCCTGCGCTGCAAAAACGACGGATTCAAAGAGCCGAAGAGATCATCCCTACTTTTGGAATGTTTGTCTCCATTGGCTATGATATGCTAAGACTGTTGGGGATGATTGAAGACACCAACAGAAGAGTCCTACCTTATTGGGATGATTGGAGGTCCCGTTTTGGAGGACGGATGTTCCTTGTGGGGTGACTACAGCGGGGGGTGGGTGCTTTGGAAACATCGCCGTGCTCCTGTAATTGCAAGTAGTTAGAAGCTGCTAGGTGGAGGCCATCGCTATTAGGTTGGAGGCCATCGCTACTAGTAACAAGGGCATCGCTCCAGCAATTACAATCTAATTACAATCTAGCTCCGGCCACGGGTTTTGATGCGCTCCCTCTTACCCAAAGGAGTTCGAGTTCATCTTGGGGCCGACTGGAAGGAACGAAAGAAGACTATTCATCTATATCATTCAGTCTATCAAAAAAGATTTCTGGCGCAACTCAATGATCGCAAAGCTGAGCAATTTGATGGAATGTGCAATCATTCAGGTCGAGATTTGCCCCCTTCTCCACGTAGGCCTGCCCATATGTAGCAGCGGTTTCAAGTTTCAATCACAGATGCTTCCCGAAGCATGCCGAGGTTCTACACGGAGACCAGACAGGGCTTCGTACTGTGCGCATGGGATGAGGATGAACGCGCCTTGTCTCCACGGACCCCAGCAGGTGAGGCAAAATCTGCATAGGAAAAAGGAAAAAGGACATGGGTCATAGAGTGTCAGGGTCTCTGAAGACATTGGGCCTTGAGGACAGGTCAGTGGCTTCGCGCGTCGCACAACAAAACATGCAGCCCTAACCGACTGATGATCTACTCAGATTCTGATTCCTTGCAACAAACAAAGCGCAACTTTGTTTGTTGCAAGGATGCAACCATGCGACGAAGATCGATATCACATACATGCCTCAAGAGACAGAAGACGATGCAGCGATTTGTCAGCTGAAAATGACACCATGTTTTGCTGAGCCAAACTCTGTCACAGATGCCTGAACCTGAAAGAGAACTTGGGAGAAGTGGTTAAGTTTCTTGGCTCCAGGCCATGATGAGAAAAGTTGCGTCCCTTGCTCACAGTTTGCATGCTCAAATAAGGGGTACTGAGTACTGTAAGTGTTACCTTGAGGTCTATTCTCTTTTAATAGCCATGAGGCTTCCAAATTGGAGCAACACATGGAAAACATACAAAAGGAACATGCAAGCATGAAACTGAATTGAGATAAAGTGAGTACAGTAATTGGTTTTTATTGTTTTTTTCCACATGAAAAAAGACACTTGAAGGGGACTGTGAAGGCATGCCTCGAGTTCCTTAAATATTAATGCTCCTTCCATCCCTCCAGCGTTGTTCTCCGCTTGTTTTGTCATGGTCTGCTTTGGTGGGAAATATTGACTGACTGAGGATGGTTGTATGTCTTATGCAAGGTGAAGGAGCAACTGAGCAATTTCTAGTATGCAGAGCTTAGGGCACGAGGTGACTTTGCAATAAGGTCACATGATGTCGCATCTGGTTTTCTAAAGTGGACCGGATAATTTATATATATGTACACATTAATGTATTAAAATGTGTTAAATATGCCAGACTCCGGCTCCCTCAAAGTGCTTTTTGAGAATCATTCTTCAAGACACCCTCTATCGTTTGCTAAGGGGTATTTGCAAAACAAGATCTGGCATTATGTTTCACTGGGAATCATTTCACTGGGAATCGATGCCCTTGTTACTAGCAGCTTCTTGTTACTAGTAGCGATGGCCTCCACCTAGTAGCTTCTAGGTACTAGCGGCTTCTTGTTACATGTTTCCACAGAGTGCCCGTTGGAGTGGCCTTTCGTTTCTGACAGTTGAGGAAACTGCGGCATAGGCCGGCAAGTGCAGCCTTGTCGACAGCTCGACAGCTGTGAAACCACCTCAAGTTCTACTGAGGGCATCAGGACAGCGCGCTGGATTGGCGGGCGCGGGGGGTTTTGAACTGGAAAACTGATGGAAGGTCGTTGGGTGAAAACTAGCGATTGGATGCGATTGGTACTGAGAGCGGAAGACCATTGCGCAAGATCCCCAAACCAATGGATTTTGATCTATATGAATCTATGTGACCTTTTCTGGATGTTCGTGATTGATGGGATGTAAACAGGACTGAGGTATTCCGACCAGAACAAACAATTTGACCAGAGGCTTTGGGGTTTAGGATGGTTTAGGTAATGTTGTCTTCTGCAGCAGTTCAATGAAAACCTAAGGAAAAATAACATGAGTTTCCTCAAAACCAAGTGTTTGACGACAGGGTTTTACGGGATTCCGATGGGGTCTAAGTGGTATGAAATGGGTGATATGGGTGTTTGTACTTCTGCTAGGTGAAATGGGTGATAGCTAGGTGATTTGCGTTACTTTCCCATTGCTGCTCGGACCAGAGGGCAGCGCAACTTCCATGAAAGCTGCCATGATGGAAGCGTAGGTAGATCCAAACCGTGAAAATTTCATGATGTATTTGAATCTCTCGAAGGGAGTCTTGGTTCACCGCGATCACCATGACGCACGAACTGAGAGTGTTTCGAGCGGAAATCGGAAATGGATGAGCTTCATGAATCCTTTGAATGCCAAGAAGAGACACATCTCAGGAGGAATCCCACAGTGAATCAACCTACCATGACACTCTAAGAATGGACACATCGACACCTCCTGAATCTTCCACCATCCTGTGATCTCGCGGCACGCGGCAGGAATTCAACCACCCCAACCACGACCGCCGCCAAGACAATCAGCAGCGATGCTAGGCGTAAAAAAAACCGTTTGCTGTGTGTCGTGTATCAAGGATCTACTAAGAGTCCTGGGCAGTGGTTCCAATGAAAGCTTCCTAACAAGAAACTCTTTAGAAGGAAGCTTCCTTTGGAATCGTTTCACAGTATCAGGGATTCCCCAACTTTGCGAATCAGGATGGACTGTCCTCTTCATGGACTGCCATTAATCTTGAATGTGACACTCCAAAAAGTCATAGTAATGCCCTTGTTACCTACTAGTTTCTTGCTGCTAGTCGTAATTCCCATAGCTACTCGTAGCGATGCCCTTTTCTCGAGTCGCGCCCAGGACTCCAATGCACGCTTGGGCGACTTCGCCTCCGCCCAGGCTCGGGAAGACACGGCCACTCAGCCGGACCTATTTGCAGAGAACTCGTGTGCAAGGGGACGGCAGCCTATCATGGGACCGTTTGGTAAGATTCGATCTCTAGTGGCGGAAGTGGTGGACTGCAACAACTCAATACCTTTCCTCCTGGCAGTGGCTTGCCACAACTTGGTTGGTCCCCAATGCAGGAACAAGATGCAGCGAGAAAATGGAACAGCAATTCACGGAAAGCAAGAAACTGAGGGCCTCATGGCCGAATGAAAAAGGTAAAGCTGTTTACAGTAAGGAAAATTACTAGTCATAACGAATTTGGAAGTGGGGTGGTGTCGTCAAGACAAAGGGACAAATCGTTTCTTCCGTTTTCACCGTGCTGGTAAGGGTGTTCTGCAACCAGCGTTGGGGGCGGCATGATGCCACCGACCTGGGAAGGCCGAGAAGAAATGCCCGGCTCCACAGAGAAGCCCGAAGCATTGGCACAAAATGAGGTAAATCAATGACTTCTTTTGGAGCTAGCATCTGGAAGTATACGATTTGTTTGTACTATCATCCCGTCCAAGCGAAGGAAAGACATGATACACAAGGGGGTTGTTCTTAGCTAAGCATACGCCGCGGCTCCCCACTCTTAGTCGAAGGAATGAGTGTCGGGGTCACGGATACATCTGCGACTTTCATTTCACCGCCAGATGCGCCTGGCCCACGGCGGCTGCCCCACGGAGGATTGCCAGGAGGAGAGCGCCGATGCATGAGCATTGCGACGGGAAGTGTCGACCTGTTTACAGTGTCGGCTGTATACCAAGTAAACCTCCTCGCTTTGATTGGTGTTGCTAGCCTTTTGTGGGGGTTCCTTTGTGTTCTATCGTGTCTTGCACAAGTCGGATACAGTTTCACTGTGATCGTCCGACACGAGTGATAGTATACCATTGTAAACCCGTTGTCAAAGAAGCTCGATGATTCAGATCATACGACACAGTTGTACCAGCTATTTTGAAACCTTTGCTACTAGTAACAAGAAGCTACTAGGGGCTCCGGCCCTTACTAGGAGCAAGGACGCTACTAGGGGCTCCTGGCCGTACCACTAGGAACAAGAAGCTACTAGGAACAAAGGGCATCGCTACTAGGAGCAAGGACGCTACTACACAGTTGTACCAGAGGGCTCAACAGTTCGGTGAGTAGCGTTCGGCGTGTCCCTACCTGTGTTTGTTTTAAGCGTTTTCAAGGTGCTTTACCAAATATGTTTTTGGCTGGTGGGCTTTGACTTGGAATTAGCAACACATAGCAACACGATATCAATCCAATTCTTTGTGGTGGGTTGAAATCACCAAGCAGGTCTATATTCCGTGCAAAAAAATAGAAAACTGGAGAAGATTATCATGTGTCCAAACAGTTATTGGTCGGGTTTCCTCTGCAAACTGTTGTCGGAATGGGTGTTTGGTATTCCTGCCAGCTTTTGTTTTTCTTCCTGAAACTGCTTTGGAATAAACCTGAAAGAGTGACTGTGTGTTCAACAAAGACTGGGTGTTGGGAAGATGCTTCTTCTTTGTCAAAGGACTTGTCTTGTATGTGTGTTTGCCTGAGTGTATTAGTTGTGCCTTCAGGTACATGGGGAAATCCACCTGCAGGGAAGGTGCTGAGGCGGAGTATGGCGTAGTGAACTTGTGTCGATAGGCTTTGCACAATAGCACGTATATAGTGTGTACTGCTCAGCTAGCTTAGCTGTGAGAGGGGGGGGCCTCAAAATTCCGCGGCCCTAAAAGGTCGCCTCGAACCGACAGTGCTTGACGGGTTGCTTGTTTCTTTTTCACAAGTAAATAAAATCGGCTCCGTTGGATGGTTCGGAGCACCATCTTGGAACATGGCCCCCATCGTATTATTTTGGTGTGGGTGGCGGTTGGCAAGTGTGGACGAGGAGGTCAACAGCGCGAAGTGTGACAGCAGCGAATGGAAGCTGAGCCTGGGATTCAAATCGGTATCAAAGCGCTCGGAGTCGCGTTCCATGGAGGTGAAAAGGCCTTCTAGATAGAAACGGTTTCTCGAAGACGATCCTTTGAAGGGGGAGTTGTGCCATCTACTATTAAGTAAATCAGAGTCTATCTCAAATGGTCTTCGTATTGTTTTGGTCCAAGCTCCGAGTGAGTCGCTGGGGATATTTTCGAGTCGCTTCTCGGCGGAGAAAAGGGTCAGTGGAGATGTTCCGACATCTGTGAACCATCCTGTGGGCTTCGCCAGTATGAAGGGCTTGCCATGGCTTGGTGGTGAATCACATCCACACCGATTCCCGGCGAATGAAACTAGGGATTCCCGGCCATAGCTCCAATTAGCAATAAACAGGACCTGAGACGTGGCCAGGTTTGCCGCTTGGCTGGCTTTGACCGGGGACCTGATCCCCAACACGACTCACCAAATTGTCGGAGCACGGCTCAAAAGATGAGGGATACTAACTAGTCACGAGTTGCATCGCTACTAGGAGCATTCTTACTACTAGTAACAAGAAGCTATTAGGGGCTCCTGGCCTTACTACTAGGAGCAAGGATGCTACTAGTAACAAGTGCATCGCTACTAGGAACAAGTGCCTTACTACTAGTAACAAGAAGCTATTAGTAACAAGTGCCTTACTACTAGGAGCAAGGATGTTGGATTTCTCATGTGTGATTTGCTGGAGGAAGGTCCCATGTTTACAGGTCTATGCAGACAGAGAAACACCTGGGCCCGGCTAAGGACTGGCAAGTGCCGATGCCATTGCAAGAAGTACCGGCCAAATATTGTGATGTCTCTCGCCACTTCATAGGTCGCAAGGTTGTGGGCGTGGCTAATTAATTGGGCAGTGTTCGTGCTTGGATGGATCAGGGCTTCGTTCCCCAAAAAAATTATCCCATGTCTTCTAGAGAGACCCTTCACTTTCATCATTGTGTTGTGTACTCCCCAATAGATCGATGCTTACGACTAAGCGATGCACATCAAGTGATTTAACCTGGCTTCGGCTCAAGAATTGGGTACCCCCCCGTCACCAAACCCTCCGCCAAAGGAAAATACACCCATTGGTCGTCGCTGAGTCATACATTTCCCCCTTTGACCGTGTTATACATCCGGACACTCCAGTTCATCGCTTGCGACCCTCCACTTGTTCAACGCTTGGAACATGACATGAGTCCAGGGAGACCATGGTCCAGTGAGAGACCAAAAGTGAGCGGCCTAAATGATCAGAGGCGTCAATCATTGGATGGTTCTGAGTTCTCAGACCAGAACCTGGTCTGGCTGATCTACGGTCTGACTGTATTTCTCACGTTGGAATGGGATGTGAGAAATTGATGTTCGTTGTCGTTCGGTTCTCCAGAGAAAACTCCCAACTTCCTGAGTTCCAGATGTGCGGAAACGGGTTTCTGTGCGGGTCAGGTCCCAAAAGGAGTTGAAAGCGATGCATCTTGTTCTCAGGTCCATCAGTGATAAGAGGAAGTCAACATGTTCCAAAGGGAGACTTCGAGTGGCCAATCTGTGCCATCCCCAGGATCTTGGCCAACAGCATGGGCTTCAACGATTTCTTCGACTCCACGGATCTCACAGCTTCTGCGCCCGGGCTCCCCGGGCCAAAAGGTGACGCCGGGCCGATCATGATCTACACGCAGGTGAAACATGTGTTTAGCTATTGCTGAGCAGGCCTTCTGGAACTCCCAAGGCTGAAACATCAGCCATACAAAACTGTTTTCAAGATCAGGGTCAGCTTTCGCGGTGTGTACCAGGTACCACATGCTTTGCATGGTGGTTGTTTTCACGGCACGGCCAGCGGTACGGCCAATGGAACGCCACACGCTGAGTGGTGTCCTTCATTCCCGCTCAGACAGTTCAGCAGTGTGTGAAAGCCCAAGCATTGTTCATGCAGTGTGTACATGTGGCAATCCCCAAGAACATGACCTTTTCAATAGATCCTTCATGACCTGAGACTTGCCTAGATTCCAAAGCGCCAAAGCGTTTGCACCCCTGGACAATGGCAAACACCAAGCGACCCCCCGCTCCTGGACACCATGAACTAAGCTTTTGGGTCCGAGAACTGCTCGAATCGGTGGGCAAGTCCGGGCGGGTTTTGCGACTCACAGAGACCCATGAACACCATGAACAGAATGACTCGAACGACCGGTGTTTTTGGTGGGTGCGACCGGTACCGTGTGTTGGGTGACGTGTCGTTCTTTCGGTACCTCGGCAAATGAAGGGCATGAACGACAAGGAACTGGAGGGAACAAGGGGTCTCCTTCAAAGAGCAGGATGTCCTTGAAGTTAGTCAGTAGTGGTGCATGATATTCAATCATGAGAAACAGCTCTTTCGAAAAACGGTGCTCCGCGTTCTGTGTCAAGTGTTGGTTGCATTTTGTTGCTGTCTTCTTTCAGTCCTGGTTCTGGCTCCCCTCTCTTAAGTAGTTCAGAGCTGGCTAGGTAGTTGAAAAAGGTGATATGCACAACAGTTCTTTCAAACTGGCTCCAGTAAATTATGGTGTGGCCTGTCATGTCAGGTTCAGGTCCTGTACCCTTTATCAGGACAACAGATGCTTGGACAAAGCATTGCAATAGTCGTCCCTCAGCCTCCTTATTGGATGTTGCAGAGTGTCTACTCAAAATTTGGGAAATGATACCAACGTTTGGGGCCTGGGGCCTCCTATTTGGTTCTACGTGACAGGCGGTCCGCTTCTGAGGTGGCCCTACGTGACCTCCATCCTGCTTGGCGCCCAGGTGGATAAACAGCGTTCACCCCATCGGTGCGCGTCGCGAACGGAGCGTGAAGGACGCGACGTTACGAACGGAGCAGTTCGGGCATCGCTACGATTTCTTGGAATGGATTTTTAAACAAGTGTCCCCCAACGGGAACGCAGTGCATTCGATGTTTGTGGAGGAATCCTGAAGTCACCACAACACGCGGTTGCTTCAATTTGGAGTGCACAGGTTACCAACCATCTTCGCTTCCTGGGGACCCACTCCAGTTTGGCCCAAAGTGCAGCATCCGGGGTGTTTCACCCATTGCCCCCTCCTGCCCTCCTTCATTCCTTGTTTCATCCATTGCCCCGTCGTGCCCCCCCTCATTTCCCCCTTGTGTTTCATCCATTGCCGCCTCGTGCCCGCTTTATTCCCCACGTGTGTTTCATCGAATACATCCATTCAATCAGAAACTGAAAGAGCTGGCTGGAAGTCTGGAAGCAGCTCTGAGCAGCTCCGTGTTATGCCGGTGGGATACAGCAGGAAAACAGCTTTGGACTCCATGCATTCGTAATGATGTGCAGATGAGGTGTGATGTGCTTCTGTGTGCAAGTGGAGGCAAAAGCTCGCAGCCAAAGTCGCTGTGCAATATGTTGCAATCATTTTTGGAACTGTGCCTTCCCTTGCAATCAAACGCCCCCAACGAACAAGTTGCTGATGAATAGGTTTGCTTCGGATGAGATGTTGATCCAGGATTGATTTGTCGAGCGCATTCTGCAAACCTTCAATGACTTGTTTCGAGATGAATATCGGATTCAATCTTATATAGTTAGTTTTCTTTAACCCTTAACAGTTGACTGTTCCCTTTGCAGGAACCAGTTCTGTGTCGGCCATTTCGATCTTCGAGGCTGCGAGGCTTTGAGGTCCAGTTTCCACGTCCGCCCAACTGTTCAAGCATCCTCAGTGATTATGACGAGGAGGAGGAGGATGATGATGCCATCAAGACGTTTTCTGTGATGTTTTTTCTCCACCGTGTCGCACCCGCCAAGCATACAACGGTTAAAGGAAGGTTTGGGGAAAACTCTTCCTGGCAGACCGCGTGCAGGTCTCAAGACAGTTGTTGTGCACACTTTTAGGAAGTGTCCAGTGTATCAAAGCACCCTTGTTTGACAGTGCTGCGCACCTTTCTAAAATTTGTTGGAATTATGTTGTTCGGGCATGGTGACTCTGCTTCACACACGGTTTTCTCAGTTTGCTTAAAATATCTTAAAATATATATGTTGTCCCGGCATGCCGTTTAGCAAAAGCTCGTTCTCAATGCATTGGACAACTTTCTTTGTCAGGGAAGTTCTTTGTAGCCGGGTGAAACGCTGCCAAAAGAGCACCGGTTTCCCTGTCATAAAGCATGGGACAAGACAACGGACCTGCACTCTGCTGGCAAGGCCGTTCTTCCGTTCTTGTAGAGTTACCAACGGGAACCAACACAACGAAAGGCAGACCTCCAGACGGGTATACAGTGTTTACAGTGTGCGCGGGAGGGCTCACAGGCGATTTACACTGTTCTCCAAAGAAGCTTCCGAAGGCACATCAGAGGAAAGATGATGCTTCCTGCCCAGCAACTGATGACGTGACCTCTTTGCTGCGAAATGATTTCCACAACATTTGATGTGTTTTCTGTACAATACCTAAGTTGGCTAATCAGCTAATCTTAGTTTCAAGAAGAAATGGAAGGGACGGGTTGTCGTCAAAAATTGTGGCGTTAAAGTTTGTGGGACTTGGTAGACATTAATGTTGGGCACTCGGTAGATATGTTTGATTGGATTGTTTGCCAGAGGGACCCACAAGTCTTCAAGTGATAAAGTGAGACTTTCAGTTATTATGCAGTGTAAGGACCACCAGAAGGACCGAATGGGATTTAGTCCCATCCGTCCGACTCGCACACTGAAGGCCTGAGTCGATTCGCCTCAACAGTTCCTATGCCGCTTGGCCTGACTGCCGTTGCTCTGACGGAGAGGTGGACTGCCTGGATATCTAATGCATCCTCAAATAAGTATTACGGCCAGGAGCCCCTAGTAGCGTCCTTGCTCCTAGTAGCGATGCCAGGAGCCCAGACTGTAGCTTCTTGTTCCTAATGCATCCTCAAATAGGTTTAAGTCAGCACACTCGCAGGTGCTTTGTTTTGCATCCTTGGAGACGATCAGGTTGTGGGAATGACGCCAATGACCACACGGATGCAATCTTAAAATCAACCCTGTCGCAATAAACGTTTCCTTCTTTCACTAAATGGGTGTGTATCTTACCAGGGGGACCTACCAACCAATGGATTTAGTCGGTGTTTGATTTGTCCCAGAAATCTTTTGGGGGCCCCAAAAAGCGACTGCTTTGCGGAACTTCTCGCCGCCCCAAGGCAGAAGTAGCCAGCGCCCCCTCGAGGGCCTCCTTCCTCACAGGCGCAGAAATCGCTCCAGTGAGGGTTTGTTCACCACACAAAGTCTGGGAAATCGGAGCTACTAGGAACAAAGGGCATCGCTAATTAGGAGCAAGAAGCTACTAGTAGCTCCCTGGCATTACTACTATAGTAGCAAGGACACCATGAGTAGCTCCTGCTTATATATATATATATGGCAACAAGTTTACAGTTTGTTTGTTATTGTTTAATTCTTTTCCTCTACGAGAGAAACCCTTGGTACTGTGTTTGGAAAGCCTTTGTGTAGGCCGTTAGCCACATCGCTTTAGTTTCGTTGGTGGGATCGGGAAGAAGGGAGCAGGCCAGCTGGAACGACCCGGAACCCCCCCTGTAGAAAGGAACATATACCAAACAATACTGAACTACTAAGCCCGATAGGTTGCGAGATCCCTGTGTTGAGACACGTCTAAAACAATAATGTTCAGCAAAGTAGTGTTGAAGCTTGCTTTTGGATAACATCAATTTTGATGTCAAGAGGTTTCTGCCCCTTTCACCAAGTAGTCCCAGCTTGAACTGCTCCAGCTCTTTCGAGGATCAGAACTAAAATTGGTGCAAGGACGCTACTAGGAGCAAGAACACTATTAGGGGCTCCTGAGCTTACTACTAGCAACAAGAAGCACTCCGCAGTGGCTATTTGCTAGTACTAATCCGCACTCCGCAGGCCGGTGGCAGCAACACCTGCTGCCCGCAGAGACTCCGTCACTGAGTGTCGAGCAGGCATTTGGATCCAAGGCCGGAAGGAGGAAAAACGCAGCGGGCCCACTGAAAGTTTTGTTGTCCTTTAAAACAGAAAAACACTAGCACCGGACCGATGGTGGCACTACCTCCTAGGTCGGATGGAATTTCAAACTCTGAAGGTGAGTCTGAAGTCTTTGCACTTATCCACATCGACTCTGACCACAGCGCAGTGGTCCCGCTATCGTTGACGACCGCTTCCAGGGCTGGTCCCCGCTGGGCGTCTCCCACCACCGGCAGTTGGGTTCCACTGCTGGCGCTTTCTCGCAGGCCCGATGTTTGGACAAGAAAGAGTCAGAAAGAAGAGGAGCAAAGAAGAGACGAAGGACGAGATGACGAGACACATGGAGCAGTTCTTCTCGGTAGCAACAGGTCTTCAATGCCGTTGTTTAACTTTAAACTTAATTCTAATAGCGAACTTTGTTACTACTAGTAAGGCACCTGTTACTACTAGCGTGGCACTTGTTACTACTAGCTTCTTGTTTTACGGCCTTCCAGACATGTTTGACTTCCCTTCGGGACATGTTGTGGAAGACGAGAGGGTCGATGTTTTGACGTCGGTGGTCACGCACGGGGCCATCATATACTGTACCGGTACCGTGCAGGGATGTCATGTCAATGTTGCTCAACATGGTGTGGCTTTTGGACCAGGAGTGCGAAACGGATTTCTTCACAAAAAACACAGCCTGTGAGCTCCATGGAACTCCAAGATGGCTTGAGCCACAACCCATTGGCAAATTGGCAATGGGCAGGGAGCCGAGCGCACGGTGGCGCAGAAGCTCAATGCTGCGGGATACAAGTTGTGACCTCAGAGTCGTTCAGTCATAAGATTTCTGCCGGGTGTCGTTTATGCTCATGCCAAAGTGATCAAGGGGTGTTCAGTTGTTTGGTGTCGCTCCCAAATTGAGCAATTAAACGTTGGAGTTCTCATCAACCCAAGAAAGTATCAAACGTTGGAGTTCTCCAGGCCTTGGCTTTCAAACGGCGATTTGTATGTAATGTGTTGGGTGGATGCTTTGACTTTAGGTCTTGAGGCAATCACCAAATTGGGAATCCACCGAAATAGATGCTATGGTCCCTATGGTCCCTATGGTTTATGTGGACTAAGACGCCACTGGTGAGAGACGAGAGGGACTGCCCTCCAACAGACAAAGAGTGTTCCTTCCATTCGCAGCTTGGACTAAGAGGCTAAATGTTTGGGGGTTGGATGGTGGTTTTATTGCTAGGAACAAGGACGCTACTAGGGGCTCCTGGCCTTACTACTAGGAACAAGAACGCTTCGTTTTGGTTCACCTATTTGTGGTATCCCCGCATCCCCGGGAATGTACGGGCTCCAGAGAAGCCGCCACTCATGAGACCAACCATGGGCAGAGCCCACAGGTCTTGATAAAACCGCTTGAGAACTCACGTCTCACGACTGCCTGTAAGAAAAAAATACGAAGTCAAGTCAGTAAGAAGGCAAGGCCCCTTTAATATCCAAGGGGCCCTTGCTTTATTGTTTCCTTCCCTTTTGGAATGGTTTGCTTGCCTCATCACCGTTCGGCAAAGCGCCGCCCTGAGGAGTTATGCCATTGGGTGGGGTCCTCAGGAGACATCTTCACGTTGGGGGTGGGAGGCAGAGACAAGCCCCGGGTTTCTTCGTTTTGTTCTTTGCTCGTTTTCTTCTCTTCTTCTTTTTCCTATCCTTCTCCTTCTTCTTCTCCTTCTCCTTCTCCTTCTTCTTCTTCTTCTTCTTCTTTGTGTTTCATTGTGTTTCATTGTGTTTACTCTAAGATTTGCCCGCATCCTGAAACTCCTGAAAACCCTCTATCACAGTACCTTCGTGACCATCCGGTGTGCCAGAAGATCATCGCTAAAATTCAAAGTGTCCACTCTTGGGATTCTATTTGTGTTCGGGGTCGCAAACGTTTAGCCACTGGCATTTGTTGAAGTTGTCGTTCGAGCTGGCAATCTGCAGAATTCCTTGGCAGCGTTTCCAGAAACGCAAGCTAACGATAGTTTTGATTGATGCAGTTTAAGCTTAACATACTCAACATACTATGAATGATACTTTGCCATGTTGTTTCCATGTTGGATAGCACGGGTTTAAATGATGCATTCAATGTTTGTAATCACGTGTTGCCATGGACACAACCAAGTGCGTTTCACTGAAGGGCCGTCAGTAACTTGCAAATAGATGCAAATTGATGATTGCAAGTGGTGAACAGTTTGAAACCACATTTACACGTGGCAAAATGACATTCAAGGACTTTCTGGGACTTCTTGAAACCTGCATTTGCAGGGTGGGCTATGCAAAAGATGCGACAAAGTGAGACTTTCACTGATCCCTGTAGTGTTGAGAACAAGAACAGACAAAAGGTGTCCTCAAGTATTCTCCACAAGTTTATGCCAAGATGTGGAAGTTCATCAGACAGCCAAATTCCAGTGGTTCTTGCAATGGTAATGGTATTGGTACCTGGTATCTGAGGTGGTGGAGGAAAATCGTCCATCAGAAGTACATTGGAGTTAATCAACCAAGATAACGATAGCCAGTCAAACACTTTATTAAGCTGGGACCTAATCATGAGGCTTTCATCCGTGGTCAAACAACAGTAGTTTGCCAGGGCAGCTCAATGATTTGGCAGCTGAACGATATCAGGATGAACCTGTCGTATGGGCAGCACATGTCAGACAAGGTTACCATGACATGGTGCACTGCAGTGTACATATGATTGACTCATAATTACAGAAAGTAATGTGTGCCTTCACAGATGAAGCGACAACAATACTCGCTGTATGTCAGAATGACACGCCTGCGGCGCTACTTCTTTCACTCAAGAAGCATTCTGGTCCGGTCGGTCGGTCGCTGCTGTTGCGTTCGTTGACCCGTTCGTATTTTGGAGGTTGATTTCTTCAATCAGACTTAGCTTTAAGACTACACACAACACTGTTGTGGTGACTTCAATCTAAAGCACGGCGGCTCAGCGGTTTTGGTGAATACCTTGAAGCATGGAGAGGTGTTGGAGATACGAGTTCACTCCCATTTCAACAGGGCCCCGCAGAAGATATATAGTCGAGGCTAGCACGCTAACCCAACTGCCTGCGGCAAGTGAACGCAACAGAAGTCAGTCATTTGATTTATTTACAAAAGCTCATCCAAAAGCAGAATTGTATATTCTATACATATATATACATATATATGTGATATTTTACTACATAAATATTAATCAATAGGTGAATACCCACCGGGCGCTTCCAATGTCGACATGGTCATCCACCAGTACGGTGGTGAAGGGGTGTCTACGAGATACAAACCCGACTCCACGGCGTGTCCAGACCATTGAGGAAGTGGCAAGCTGGCGGTGTGCTCGGACCCCGGTGCTCTGTGACCCGAAATTCTGAGTTGGGTGGGCTTGATTCCAAGTGAACTGGTCCATATCCTGTGATTCAGACAGAGGAGAACATCCGAAAAGACGACACATGGTATTTGGGCTCGGCCTTCGGCATTGACCTTCCGCCGCCGCCGTCGTGCCGAGAAGCCACTGCACAGAGATGTCTTCGAAATCCCGATTCGTTCTGCAACAGTCTACAACATGTTGAACAAAAATATTGCAATTGTTGATAGCTTTGGACCTCCAAATGTTGTATGACTTTTCTGGACTTCCGAAGGTGGAAGAACTCGAAATTAGTCCAAGGAGTCCAAGAATATGTTTCAGAGGAGCAGTCAGCAAGTTGCTCGTTTTACTAGCTTTGCAAAGGTGGCTCCCCAAAGAAAGTATTTGATTTGATGGCTTCAATTCCAGAAACCTTATATCCGAGCTGCAAAGTTTCCACACTGTGTCTCCGTTGACAGGAAAAGAAGTGCACATAGGAAGAAACGATGTCCAACGGATGTTGAAAGGGCGTACTTTGGACGTTATCTTATATCTCAGCAGGAATCACACCACACGGACTTTTGTTGAGAGGTCGTTGGGGAAGATATTTTGTTCTTTCACCATGGAGTCGCCCTATATAACCGAGCCACACAAAAACAGCAATGGGTATCTCAGTGGGTGACTGATCCTTTGGACGGTAGGTATATAGGAATCACAGGGATCCTTTGGACGGTAGCCCTATCAACATTTATATCAGCCAGCAGGTCTGTTTGATGTCCAATTGATTGTACTCCCTGCCAAATTCTTGCAGCATCACCAGGTCTTGGAATATGACGCCTAGTGGGAGAGGATTTGCGAGGTGGGATTCCAATTTTGCATTTGGCTCTCCAGCAGAAATTTCAATTCTGCCCCTTAGAAAAGTCTCAGAGTGTTCATTTCTTTGGTCTTTCCCACTATTGAATTGATCGTCTTCTTTACATAGGCCTTTTGGTCTTTCTAGCTTTATGTTTTTTCTTTGTTTCTTTAGAGCTGTCTTTTACAGAGAACATACCAATTGTTGAGTGGGAAAGCAACCCACGGGTTGCGGGGCACCCAGCAGGTTCTTTGGCAGCTACGATGATGCCTCGGACTACGTGAATCATTGCTTCTCGGCATTCTGCAGGGGAGGCACTCGGAGGCACCAAGCCTACTCGAGAGCCTCCGAATCCGCAGGAGAGAAGAAGCAAGTGTGTTTTTGTCTTTCTTTGTTATCCGTTTTTCATTCTGAAAGTTTTGCGAACAACTGCTGTCCAACAGAATCCATTGTGGGGGCTGCGCAAATGTTCAAGTAATTGAGATGGAAAAGCGGAGTGCGGTCGTTATGTTTATCAGCTTGTCAGCTTGCCTTGCGAAGCAACTCTCACAGCCCTGCAAAGCCACAGGTGGGTCACCAAAGATTGAAAATAGAGGTTACAGGAGATCAGGTTGGGAGGGCTTCAGTTCTTTTTCTAGGTTTTGTTATTTTGTAGGAGGTGTGATAAGTTCTCCATCCCATTGTACGGGCTTTGGGCACTCAGTGTTAAGTGCTACTGTATACCTTCCATTCTGTGAACTGCACTGTGAATGCGATTCTCATCTACCAGGGAGATGCATGTGTCCATCGTTTCTCACTTCCAAAAAAGAAAAAAAAACATAGCAAATCAACGCAACTTCATAGGAACTTCCCAAGACATGGCTCTTGAGGTGTTCCACCATCCCACGAGTCAGGGGCCCTTATCGCCCTTATCTTGAGGCGACGTCAATGGCCATTACGACCTGCATTACGAGGCGCAAAAATCATGGCCGTGGGGATCGGGTCCACAATGGTTTTCGTGGGGTCGTTTTTTGAGGTGAGTGAGGTGCGGGAAATCCCAAGAAGACTCACCGTAGACAGTGAACATGTTCGGGTTGCTTCGAAACAAACCTAAAAGTCAAGTGTTCAACGAAAATCTTCCTGAAAAACGGCTAGGTTGTTGTTCCTTCCCGAAAAATATGGAACTTTCCTCGACCTTCCAAAACCGCACCCAGCGTGCGCCATGTTTAACGGAGTTGGCCTTCAGCTGGTTGCGACATGTGGCGCCCACGGTTCTACCAATGTCATTCGGCTGTGCCGGCAACATGAGGTCTTAACTGGGAGCTATGGGAAAACCAGGCAGGTCAAAGAGCTGTTCCACAAAGAAAAAACAATGACAAAGATTGAGCACGCAGGAGCGGCGTATTAGCCGTCACTTGCAGCCGCTTGCAGCCACTTGCTGCTGCGGTCACTTGCAGCCGCTCAAGCAGTCACGTGATGTGACACTGCTGTATAGAAACAAGAGAGCCCTCGAAGACCTTGATGGGACCGGGCAAAATGAACAACCGATGCAGATGTTCCCACTTAAAGCCCTCCCAATAGCTACAAACTTGGAACCCTGAACGGAAAGCCATGGAAAATACTGGTAGTTTGAATTCCTTTTTCAACATTCGCACGCTTGTTCCTTTGTTCCTTTTCGCCACTTTGTGAGCTATCCGCAGAAACCGCAGCTCGACCCCAGGAGACAGAACCCTTCGAAGCCAACTCCACCTGGCAGTTCACCAGGTGAGAGAGACACCGACGGTGTGTGGACCGGATCTGGTGACACCGACGGTTCTTCGGTGTGTTTTGTGATGACTGAAACGATCCAAAATAAAAACTGACCGACTGACCCCGTGGTCTAGAACCAAACCATGTTATGTGTCTGTTCTTTTAAACAAGATTTCTTGGTCCTCCGCATTTGCTTTATTGATGTTGCACCACCTGATCGCCTGCATCTCCCGCTTGAAGCACCTCAGCTACGCGTACAGACCACTAGCCACTAGCATAACCTCCAGCAGAGCCGGTGGGCAGTATGGAAATGTCATGAAATGTCAATGTGGATCCAGAAATGTTCACTTCGGATAAACATAGATAAACTATGATAAACTAAGTTTCTCATGTTATCTACAAGCGTTGTGTGTGTTCTCGGGTGATGGAAGGTCACATAGAAATGTGTCACATCAACGTGCCACCATGTCAGCGTATCGGCGTGACGGTTCGTGACAACACCTCATCATGTCAGCATGGCAACTTGTTATCAGCAAAACAGCGTGGACATGCTGGAATGTTGACATAACAGCGCACACCATACGAGCATGATAGGATGACAGTTGACATGTTAGCAGTTTCGTTGTGCCATGACATGCCATGACAATGTCAGCGTGTCAGCATAACAGCATGTCAGCATATCTGGAAAATTGCTGCCTTGCTCCACAACCTGCTCCTGATCCGGAAATCCGAAACCTGTGAAGTCTTTTTACATGCCAAAAACCCTTAAGCTTCGCTGCGTTAAGAAAGTAAGCCTTGCTCTTTGATCTCTCCAAGTCCTCACTTTTCAATGTTTGGAAGTTGTTTGGAAGTCTAGTCGATACCTGTCTCTGGAAAAAATATACTGTACCTTCTTTTTTATCCCTTTGTGGACTTTTAAATACTTGTCTCTACTGCGTCTACCAACCGGACACCTAGCATCAACAATGCCACGTAGAGCGCGTCTGAAAACTGTCCAATGACCATCGCTTTGCCAGACCACTGTTTTGCCCCCGTGAGTGCATTCCTATTGACAGGGTCACGCACACACTCACTGCAACCTTTCTTGTATCTCAGACTATTCTCTTCGATTTCTCCTTTGATCACTTGGCCTGTTAGGGTTTGAAAAACTGGATTCTAGTGATCTTCCCACAAAGCATGTCCAGTAGACATAAGGCCAACATGCTTTGCAGTCTCCTGCCAACAACATCACCCTTTTCATCCCTTTCCCTTTTGCAGGTGGGCTGATTCGGGAGACAGTCGAAAGTTGAAACAAGTTGATAGTTCCTGCCAGGCGGGTTGTTTTCACTTATTCGCGAGGGGTTCTCGCCCGTTGTCACTATACGTTTCCTTGCACTTACGACCGTTTCGCTTTTTTTTTTTCGTGTAGGTCCCATAGGTGATTGTGAGGGACCAGCAAAGCAAACAGTTTGACGACACCTCTAGAGAACGACTTCACTATCCCTGACTTCGGACTGATAGCACTCAACATTCCCATTTCCTGCTGGAGGCCGTATCACTACTATCCCTCCGGGCCAGAGATGGCCGGCGAGACTCAAAGGGCTGAAGGGGGGAGGAGAAATGTCACGAAAAGAACAAATAGAAGGTTGATTCACCATTGGTAGATACATGTGATTACAATGAAATTACACTGTGTGGATCCAATGATAAGGCCTATTGGACTGTACCTATTGGGTTAGGGGGTGAATCCAGATTCCCGCTTCGATCATTTTAGGGGCTCATCCTTGTTTGCCGCACAATTGAGGAGGTCCCTTTTTCTCCCAACAAACATATTGGGTTTGAGCTTTTCAATATATTAGACGGATTGATCTGGATCAAAATGAAGAAACCGAACTCAAACCACAAGGTGACCTCACTTGTTTTATTCCTTCAGGTATTTGAGCAAACCCATGAGTTCGGACAATGGTTGCCTATATTATCTCGGTCTGCATTTGCACAGTAGGTTGGATTCGAGTCAAAATCCACGCGCGGCGCTGCCGGCTTGCCAGGCTAGGGCTTCCTCCACAAGATGGGTGCATGATAGACATAATGTGTCAATGGGTCAGGCACCTTGTGTTGGCCCGTGTTGGCCCAACCCAATTGATCCCATCAGAGAGGCAAGAAAGGAGGGGCCACCTGAATAGAGGCCCTTTAAAGGGTCCTGGTCCTGGTCCCTTGCCTTTTTGTTCGATTCGTATCACTTTACACGGTAACATTCAACCACCTCCGAACCACTGACTGCTCGCACAGCTCGACCCTGCCAGAAAAGTGAGGTGGGCAAGCATGCAAACACCATCTTCCAAGAAAAGGCTCAGCAGCGCCTAGGTGAAACCTGTGGAGATGTGGTGGTGTCAGGTGAGCCGCTGTAAAAACCTGCCTTTACATCTTAAGTAAGGACCTTGTCATATCGAATTCCGCGTAAGCAAAACCCTGGGTTGCGTAAGATTGCGTAAGCATTTCGCGTAAGCATTTCGGAAGTTTGCTTTGCATAAGCAAAAGTGAGGGCCGCGTAAGCAGCGCGTAAGGCCTCGCGCAAGGAAAGTGATACGACATAGGGAGTGACTCCAGGTTTTTAGAGTGGCTCAGGTGGATCTCTGTGATTTCGGGTGTCATTTCGCATATGTTGTATTGCTTCCGAACGGCATCGGATTGCACAGAGTTTGGTAATGCGGACCACGTCAGTCCTCGGTTGTGGATCTTGGATGGGGGTGCATGTGTGAAAATGGATCAGAAGATCGTTAGTTTCCGGCTCAAGCAGTCTCCAGGGCTTTCGGTTTCGGGTTCACATTTTATATATAGTTTTCTTGGAGTAAGCGGGGCAGATATTTAGAAGTGTCCGGGCAAGTGCTTGGACAGACTGCGCATGGCCGATGGACGCAAAATATTTGATGTTGGGACATTACGGGACCCTCCCTGTGCCCTACCTTCTGGTCCCATCTGGCATGACATATTACAAGTCAATACACTACACGGTTCTGGGGATACCGACACCCTCTACTTCTAGCAGCCTGCTGCGGTGTCACCCCAATGGGCGGAATTAAAGCCAACAAACCTGAGGCAACCTAGAAGACCTCCAATGAGCTTGCGCTGGCTCACACCAACATGCACCAAGGTTTGGGTGTGGCTAAAGCAACTAGGGGTTCGGATAGGTGGGTTTAGAAAAAACACGCAAACAATCACAAACATTTGATGAATTTGTCAGTTCAAAAGTTGCAAGTTTCTATTTAATGCTTTGCTCCCAAACCTATGAAACCTGCATGAAGTCCTGCCTTTGAATTCCTTTGGAACCTTCTTGTAAATTGGGGTTTTGCTGCAGAATGCAGCTTGCCAACTGAGGTTTATTCACGAGCACCAGGCGGCGAGAATAGCGCGTGCGAATGGCTGTAAACGGTTTGAATTGTCTCTATGAGGCACCGTGAGAAGCTGGAAAGGGTGTTCAAACAGCTGTCTAAAGATATGTAATTAAATAAACACTACATGGAGCTACTTACTTATATAAAGTGTGTTCTTGTTCATACAAAAAGTGAACAACGTTTTTCATTACCAGGGGCAGTGCCGTCTAATTACACAACTCTTGGTCGTGGACACTTGAAGGGCCCTAGAGGAGCATGCTTGTGGCATCATTCGCGTCTCCTGCAGTGACAGTTTGTGAAAGGCCGTGTGTGTTCAAACCCTTTTAGTCGTTTGCAGTCACCGGACCGCTCAATACATCAAGAGTTTCAAGGGTATAATGATATTAGCAATGAAAGGCTTTCAGGAGGTGTACAAGATGCAGAAAGGTCGATAGTGTATGAGAAGCAGTTTGGTTTCGTGGGTCCCGGGTCATGTTTACTTCATTCTCCAAGCGATCACATTCTATTTTAATTCCAAGTGGGTCGTCCTGCGAGTTGTGTCAGGCGAGATATGGTATCGATGGGACTCCGATGCCCGAAGCCGAGATGGGGAGCGTGTCGCTGGACGAGTTGTCCTCGTGTCCTGATTGTTTGCGACCTGGTCAACAAATCCAGTGAGGCCTGAGGCTCGTTTCTCGGCTGTAATGCAAGGCTGAGTCCAGGTACGCAGGAGCGCTGCACAGAAACTTTGAGGGAAGGACGTCAGAGGGGATGAGAAAAATCTCTCAGATTTTGCAGGATTGATCCTTTGCCTCCCCTCATCGAAGCGCTGAAAGTGAAGGTGTCAGAATGCTGACGGTTTGGTCAGTGAACTGGACAGGCTGCCTGGACAAGGCCTCTGATTCAGTCACTGTTTACGGTTGGTGCTGCAAGACTGAGCGCACGACTCACGACGGAAGAACCTGAAAGAACCACGTGATTTGTGAGCCACAGGATGCGCACGTGCGATTCGTAAAGCACAAATTGGAGTCTACACAACTCGCGAAAGTCACAAGCATGTTTCCCTACATCGTGCGTACAGATTCGTCCAACCCAAGCTGATGAACATTCATCATGCTGTTGTTTGGAGGCCTCAGCGTACTTTCAAACATGTGTGACAGTCTGCTTCGGAATTGGACAGCCACCTGTCCAACCACAGGCGTCAAACCATAATACATTATGGCTTGAGGCACGGCTTTGCGGGTAAATCCGTGAAACGGCTCAATCATTCCACGCTGTTGGTTGCGGCGGTGCACGAGATGACACGGATGTGCTTCACATGGGGAACCAGGTCCATGCTGCCAGTCCTGATGGACGGATATGGATATACATAGAAACACATCGCAAAAATGGTGTTTGGGGTGAGGATGTTTGTTTCCAAACAAAGTGTCTAGCAAACAACTTTGCACAAGTTGCATAAGATTACCATTGTATGACCGTCCCAAATCAAAAGTCGACTTATTTAGGGTTGACGGTGGGCGATTATTGAGGGCATCTCCAACCGGGGCCAGGTGTCACCTGTGGAGACTTCTAGTCTACACTTTTTTTTCTGAGTGACTGTAGATAAGGGCTCGAACAAGAGTTACGAAACGCTCGCTTTTGGGGCAGGTAGAGCATGGTAGAGCTACAGGCAGACGGGTGAAGCACAGCCAGACAGATCCCAGATGAAGCGAACAGCGCTCTCAGGTTCTTGTACTTCGCGCCGATGAGTTTCCAAGAGCCTTTGCAGGCAGGGAAACACCCGAACGTGGCCCAGCTGCTTGAAGTCTGTGTGTGGTTCCACGGAAGCCGTTTGGTGTCTTTTTCATTTCTCGATCTCAGTCATATCTAGAACAGACCACCCGCGATGCCGTTCCAAAATGCATTACAAATAGCAGGACCGTCATGCGGCACAGGATTCTGTTGATGAATTGCCAACCCGAAAAGCCTGCTCAAATTCATCTAGAAGTCCTAATAAAAATGCAGGAAAGCACGTATGGAAGCAAAACCGACATGGAGGTATAGTCTTGGCATGTTTGGACAGTTTGGGAAGGATAGGAAGGAGAACTCCATCCCTCCCCAGATAATACCATCAGTTGTCCAAACGACTGGCAGCCAAGCACCAAAGGTGGACACCGGTTGGGTCAGGCACCAAAGTGGACCGCCGAGAACTGCACGGTCGCAGGAGGCGCGGTGCGAGGGTTGTACATGAAAGAACGTAAGATCGAACAATTGTCAAATCTGCAGATTGTCTTGTTTTTTGATGTTTGGCACACTTCCTTTCTCCCCTTCACACTCGTTTCCCAGCTGCACCCATGCTTTTTCTCAAGGCTTTAGCTCCGCACCAAATGCCAACCGCAACTTGGCTGATGAAAGAAGTTGCGTCGATCCCATAGACTGGCTGTTGCGTCGATCGGACTCTTAGCTTTGTGGCGGTAGATGGTTTCAGGCTGCCGCCTTTCAAGCAATCTGCCCTTTTGCCGAGTATCAAGATCTGTCAAAGTAAGGTTCAAGGCACCATATCGTACATCGACACTTCAACTCAACTTGGATGTTTGCATATGAGTGTGTGTGTGTACTGTTTACCAAAGTTTTTGGGCTGCCTAATCATGACATGTCCACCCTAGAGATCCTTTGGGACTTGGGTGTGGCTCAAGAGAGTATGGCTGAACATGGCTGATGTGTTTGTCATGTTCCTTCTTGGAGGGCTTTTGGAAATTTAATGAAATAGGAATCCCACTATATGATCTATGTGACGTGTGACTATGTTCCACTGAACAAGCCAACCGGATCAAACCTAAAACAAAAGAGCATCTGAAGTGATTTTCACAGCTAGGCTGGCTTTCAAGTGTGTGGTTCTGTTCCTTGGCTGGTCAATCAGAGCAAACTGGGTGTTCCTTGGCTGAGTAATTGTCACTAGTAGCGATACCCTTAGTAATGCCTTTGTTACTACTAGCGATGCCTTTGTTACTAGTGGCAGTAGCAATGCACTTGTTACTAGTAGCGATACAAAACCATCATGTGTTTGGAAGTGGCAATCCATTTGGACTTCCGTTTCAGCTGGGGTCTCCCACAGAATCAGGGGAAAAAAAACAACTGCAATCCTTACCACGAAAGCTAGCGAAGCTAGCTGGAGTTACTCTTGCGATAGCAAGGTTTCTTTCGATCGGGTGCAAATCCTAACCCCTGATCTTTCAGGTCGAAGCCCCCCCCCCCCTCTCCCCACCTCCCCCTCCTCCTCCTTGTCTTCCTCCCACCTTCCCTCCCTCCTCCCTTTTCGCAAGTTCGACTCCGTCCTGTCGTCGCTCTTTGGCATGCGGTTAGCGTTGCGTATCTTGCGGCCGCACTCTCTCACTCTCACTCTCACTCTCACTGTCTCTCTCTCTCTCATCTCTCTCATCTCTCTCTCTCTCATCTCGCTCTCATCTCTCTCATCTCTCCCTCATCTCTTTCTCATCTCTCTCATCTCTCTCTCCTCTCTCTCTCTCTCTCTCTCTCCTCTCTGTCTCCTCTCTGTCTCTCGTCTTTCCGTCTCTCTTCTCTCTCTTCTCTCGCAGGAGGATCCGGGCAAAGAGCCACATATAAAGGACTCTTCACCTGGAATCGTTTGCCCCGCCCAACTTGTGCAAGGCGTCCTGCCTTCTGCTACTCCGTGCGACTGCCTCCAAAAAGAGCGCCGTGTATTTTCCTACCTCGCTGCCCTCCACTTTCCCATTCTGGAGCGCTAGCTTTCGCCCCCCCCTTGGCCTCAAGTGTCTTTGACCTCCAAAATCATAACTAAAAGGCAACTAATTTAGCATGTGTTAAAACTTAAAAACCCCTACTTTCGCGTGTTGTGTCTCAAAGACCCAATGAACCAATTCTACCTGAACAATTCACCAGCCCTTTTTCTGTGGCCCTTGGGCAACCCCCGTGCGTGGTGCCGAAGGGACTTGCGTTGCCCAGGTCAGACGTTGTGCCGAATGGTGCGGGCCTCGGACGGGCCGAATGGTGCGGCGAAGAAGCGGCTGACATTCGAAAGACAAGGAGTCCTGCACTAGTAGCGATGCCAGGAGCCCCTTGTAGCTTCTTGTTCCTAGTAGCTACTTGCTCCTAGTAGTAAGGCCAGGAGCCCCTAGTAGCATCCTTGCTCCTAGTAGCGATGCCCTTTGCTCCTAATAGCGATGCCCTTTCTGCACTGACACAAACTAGAGGAATCCCCTTCTTTGGTGGTACACGAGATTGGTATTGCCATCTTTTGCCAGTGTGTCTTAGGTTGTGCTTTCTCGATGATGCACATGTATCGGAAGTAGGACTCTGTGCTCAGGCCATCGCGTTGGACAAGACCATTGAGCAGATCGCAGATTCTCTCGCAGGCCACGCACGTGAGAGGGTAAGACCAAATCTGAAGACATACGTCATTGGATATGTTGAGAGGACTAGGTACTGGAAAGCATTCCCTACATGATATCTTTGGAGTGTTTTTCGATGACATGCAATTGATTCATGGACAAGATCAAAAACCCACTACAATATAGACGGCTGGGTGACCTATGCTGGTGCTGTCTCGATTCACTGGAGGGTGAGGTCTTTTCAATTCAACCAGGATCAATGGTCAAGGACCAGATGAATTCATTGGCTCCCTCCTTCACCCTACCAAATTCAATCAAGTGTCTAAAGTCCAGATTCACTCCTACCCAAGCTGTTTCGTTCCGGGGACTAGTCCAAGGTGCCTCCCGAGAATGGGTGATGATCATTGCCAGTGATAGCGGAGGTGGAGCTGGGCCCTGGGCTGTCGACATTGACACGCGGTGGCTACGGTGAAAACACCATCGAGAGGAACTGCACACGCTTCCCCGCTGGACCCGGGTTATCCTTAGAGATCCATGTCGGTTTGCCGGTAGATATTGAAAGGCTTAAGCCAAACAGCGGGCCAGGCAGGAAGGAGAAGAAGAAGAAAGGAAAGGGGAACATGAGAATGCCAAGGTCAGTTTTTGTTCATGTACGGTTTCTTCTCGATCAATGTTGTGTTGGCCTGCGTTCGGGTGGTAACACGGTTTCTCCTGCGACCCAATTAGAAGGAGTCTAGTAAGGTGACAGCCAATCCTTTTTTCAGTTTGTGGAGTTGCCCATGCCATTTACTCTGCGACGGGTTTTCCAAGGAAAGAACGATCAGACAAAAAATGAGAGAGTCTCAGTTTGTTTCTGTTATTTTCAGTTGATTGGATTTTTGAAAGGCCTTGCGCAGCGCTAGTCCTCCGAAGGTTCCGCAGCACGGAAGGGCTCCGGCGGCAGCAACTGGCCTTTGCGCGGCAGCAAAGGCATTGGACCTGGACTTTTAGTTTTCGGTGGGATCGACCCGGATGGGAGACTCACGTGGGCTATGACTGACTCTCAGATTGGATTACAGTGGGTTGATATTGTTCTGAACAATTTTTGACATTGGGCAACTTTCACAGTTTATGAACCAACTTGAGCTGCAGATTGTGGTGTTCAAAAGCTGGCACAAGACGGCACGTACTCCCATTTTTGGTGTTGTGTACGTCGAGACGTGGCCCGGTTGTGGAGGTTTTTTGCGTTTGCTTGGAGATTGATCAACTTTCTGCCAGTTCCACACCAAATCCAAGAAATGTTGTGTTTGAATGAGGGAAATAATCAAGTGCACATATTGTTGCAACATGTTGCAACAAAGAAAGTGAACTATGGTTCCCAGTTCCCAGACCTTCCGTTGACGTGGCACAGGCGAGGTTTGGGAAGGTGGCATGAGGACCTGGGGCTGGGAGTGTGGGACAACAGGTGATAAAGCAGGTGGTTGAACCCTGGCTCTCAAGTCTTCTTGAGTTATTTTAGCTTTTATAGCATTATATGCAACAGCAAAGCCATGGAACGCCTGCAACTATGGAGATGTACTACACTTGTGTGACTAGTAGACTGGTTTTAGGTACCTATTGTTGGAGGGATAGCCTAGGTCACGGATGCCCCATCAGTGGCAAGTCCGGTATTGACACAGAAGTGTGCCTCAATAGTTCTGAGCACACCAACAAGCACACGTATACTTGAAATCAACGAAGTGACGATGTGCTGGGTTTGCAGTTCGGACGTGTGCATGCAGAAAAGATATATATATATGTATATCTACCTTCGACCCAACCACTTTAGTTCAATTCCCTTTGATTTAGGCTGCTTGACTTTGATTTGGACAATCCACAGTGAATTCAAGTCAAGAATGAACATTCTGGAGACCGGGTAGGGCAACAAAGGGAACCTTTAAATGACCACATTGGTGTTTGACGGTTCTTTCTCGTCCGACGGGATATTTCTCGTTGCTGCCGACACCAGGACCAAGGCCTTGGTCACGGGGTCTTTCGTGGAGCTTCGGAACGCTCAGAGTAAGGGACATACGCCGCTGGGATCTGACGAAGCGGAGAAGGGAGAAGGGAGAAGGGAGATGGAGTGTGTGTGTGTGTGTGCGCCATCCTTTTTCCGGTTTCCGGTTTCCGTTGATGGTATTTTGGAGGTGGGACACGCAAATAACTTTAGTTAGGTGTCAGGCATAGGTGTTTCGGATGAATTTAAAGTCATCAAGTAAATAGAATACAGAACTGTCCAAGCCGATGCGAGCATTGCCCAAGTGTTTCGCAGTGTTCTACTGGTTTGGATCACAAAAAAAATGCAACATGGCACACTCCTGTGCCAAAACATTGCATTTTTCGTGTATCCCTCGTGTTTTTTCTGCGGCGGTGAAGGCCACATGAGGGTTGTTACGGCCACGAATCGATTCGACGGAGTTTGCTTTTTATATGTATTTTTTTGGCATTCGCCAAGAAGCGTGCACCTCGCTTTTTGAAGGTTTATGACTCTATGCGGCGGTGTTGGATTGCGGAAAATTTTCTGGACTCAGATTCAATCGAGCCTTCCATGAACTCGTGGACATTCTCAACAGCTTGACAGGTTGCGGCCAGTGAACAGGTTGTTGATGGTTTGCCTACTAAGCCCCACGTATAGCTGAGTTTGTAGAAAGAAGTATCATTGTGTGTATAGACATCCCCACTTTGGAACCAAAAAGAATGTGATATCAAAGTGGAATAGGCGTGAAGAGGAGGATGCAACTCTCCCTGCTTGGCACTACGACATTTGCACCCATTTATCATGGAAAGACTCCTTCCAATGTTGGCTACCGATTTGGTGCCTACCATGAATATGATTGACGGTCATGTCAATTTATATTCACTCGTTTCCCTTTCCAATCAAGTCCACGGGTTTCAGTTTACAGCCATGGAAGGATCACAGGACTTGGCCTTGGGATGTCGATATAGGTGAAAATGTTCCTTGATAGTTCCAGTGCGTCCACTATCCCGACAAGGCATCAAGCTAGAGCAGGCCGACTTATCGATCAGCTGTTCTGCTGCACGACCCGGGAACCAGAGGGTCAACCCAATCATCATGTTTCCCATAAAAACCGCTTCCAGATCCAGCTCTTCCAAAACTGGTGCCAAGTTCCAGTTCCTTGAAGTACTCGTTAAAAGAAAAAAACAATAAGGACCCAAGCATTTGGAAGTGCACGCCAAAAAGAAAGTCTGTGCATCACAACAAGATCTAGCAACTCCAACCGCGCCAGTGCGGCGACATGTGGTTCTTTTCATACCATGCCCTGCCTAAGGTACAGTGGTTTGGTCCACTTAGTGGATTGGCACACCATGATCCTCCACCTGGCGCATGCGAGCGGCCGAACCGGCGATGCTTGACTTTCCGGTGGTTTGCAGAGCAACGACCAGGAAACGATGTAAAGGATCTATGGACAAACAAACACAATAGTATTAATTCAATTTAATATTTATATAATTCAACTCCACAAAAACAGTGCATCTTGAGAACTTTTGGGAGACCTGAGACAGAAAGCCTTCCAACCTCACGAAGCCCCGCCCCCCCCTTTCCACAGTCGCGGCCGATGCCAGGTTTGCGGCCAGCGATGCCCGAAGACCCCGACGGGCTCCAGTTTTGGGAAGAACTCTTGACGAACACCCCATCACCGCGCAGAGTCCGGAGCTTGGTTTCGCGGTCCAGTGGAAGTTCCAAAGTGGAAGTTCCGAAGTTCCAGGTTCTTCAACTTCAGGTGCTACTAGTAACAAGTGCATCGCTACTAGTAATAAGTCTTTTTGAATCATAGAAAAATGACCACAAGCACCGTGTGGGTTGTGAGGGCAGCAATTCAAAGAGCACTCGTTGTGACGAGCAAGGAATGTGATGACTTAAGAGTTGTTTGCACTCTTTTTTTCCCAGAGAATCGCCATACACATCCATACACATGTGTCTCAAAATGGATAGAACCCTAAAAGACCATCACTAAAAAGTTGAACCCCAAGTGGATTTGAGGCTACTCATTCTTATACACGCCGCGACATGCGCATGTTCATTTTCCAACGTGCCGAGGAGTTCATCTCCAACGTGACTGGCTTCGCGGCACTCCGTTGCTCAGCCGCTGGAGTTGTCATGGTGTTGATGTTCTCGTTGACGTGTTTTCTGGGATCATCGTTGTTTTGTTGAATCATGTTGAATCTTTTTCAGCACCAGACATCGAACAACCACAAACCCACCTGCACATGTACAGCTTGTCCACCTCGCTTCACTCCTTGCAGGTTCTGGTGACTACAAGCTTGTGAAGGCTCCAGATGGAGGCCGACCGGAACCGGAGCTGGAACCAGGAGCTCTCCGTCAGGCCGTTTGAAAGCCCTCTACATGTCGTTGGTCGTTTGAAGCAATCAGAGTTGCATGTCGCTTGCACACATGAACTACTCGTCAACGACTACATTACAAGGATGGGCGGGTTTCAGTCTATGCTTCTACTAGTAATAAGACGCCACTAGTAACAGTTTTTTAACAAAGGGCATCGCTACTAGGAACAAGAAGACGCTACTATAAGAACAAAGCGCCAACTGTTCGACTGGGTGACCCTTTAGGGCGCTCAAACCGAGTCGACGCAGGGTGGTTGGTGACATGTTCGGTGACTTTTAAAATATCCAGACCCCTCCAGAAGGGCAGAACGGACAACCGGACAACCAATGGGCAAAATCCTACATCCGCCGCCAACATGAATTGTGTCTTTAGTCCAACTGAGGTTATGGTGAGTCATGGTTCAAACATGCACGCAGAGAAACTTCAAGGCTGTGTTTATGTGGGGATGGGTTGAGGCCTGAGCATTGTTTGGTTCCATATGGCTGCATTCATGTGATGCAACTATCAGGTCTCATACCACACCGCAGCAGCGTGTCAGCGCCAGGCAAGAGCCCTTGGACCGGTGAGAACCAAGGCTTTCGACACTCGCCAGATGAAGGGAGGAAAGATCAAGGAGAATGAAAGCAATGCCACAAACATCAAGGTCCATGTTTGTGGGTCCTGTTGCACTTGGTCTTTCATGATGTCTTGTCTTGTGCTAAGAGCATCATTGAAAACATCGGAGGGCTGTACCAACTAAGAGGCGAAAGGGTCAAGGGCTGAAAGCATGGAGGTTATCCAGGAGCACAGCAGATGAGGGACGGTCAATGGTATTCCTCCGTCGGGTTAAAAGTCAATTTTCAGGTGCTAAATTTGTCAGTGCCATCTTATATAATTCGATAGTATGCCGTGCAACCAGCCACAAGTCCACATCATGGCTAAGATTTGGTGCATTTGGTGCTACATTGGGATCAGTTGCATGCTTTTGTTATACTTAAATTGAGATCTTCATAAACCCGCTGCAAATGAGAAGAAAGGGATAGGTGAAGTGCGCCTTAGACTCTTAGACATGCGTAAGTCATGGGACCATTCGATGTCATTGCGGTTGGCCGCCTTTTGATTGGGGTTTGACTCGCGGAAGTCAGTCAATCTGCAAAGTCAAAGTTAACTTAAGCGCCCAAGTTTCATGGGCAAATAAACTTCACAGCAGTACACAGCCTTTTCCTGACCAAACTTGTTGGTCTCGTACCTATATAGGTCCTATCGTTTACCTTCGATCCTTAAGCTCACCTCAAGGACCCCACCTCGCATATTGCATCTTCACCAAACAGCGATCCGCCCAGGATGGCCAGTGCGTGACATCGAAAATAACGAGTATTTGCAGCTGGGCCAAATCGCTAAAACATGGGAGGGCCATAGCACGATCATTCAGACCATCGCTACTAGGTTGGAGGCCATCGCTATTCGGTACCGTTGATAACAGTTCTACCGAACAGAGCAACGTCACGCGAACAGAGCTCTACCTCAAGCCACTCAGAGAGAGAGAGAGTAACATTTCACATGAGCATTTTGCCCAAGAAAATGCTTCGCACTTTTGGTGATGATCGCTTCTAGTAACAAGTGCCTTACTAGTAGAAACAAGAAGCTCTTTGGTGTATTTTTCTTCCCTGTTTCGCTTTTGTGCAGCGCTTTGAATGCCCGTTGCAAGTGTGCGTTGCCGATGTTGGATGTCGCTGCGCTGGGATTTGAGAGGAGAGTGCGACACCACCTCACAATGGTGTCTTTTTTCGTGCGCAGCTTGTGGTTTTGTTGTTTCTTGTGATCTGGCAAAGTGTTCAAGAAATGTAGAGCTGTGGCAAGGTGGTGCTTGCAAATTTTGAACATGTCGAGCTGTGGCATATTCACCTTTCGTTTCAGGCACAGTACCTTGTGCGTGTTGGACGGGCTGCGAGGGAGTTTGTGTGGCATGCGCAGGGAATCGTGAGGCTGCGATGTTGTCACTGTCCCTATTGAGAGCTGTCAGTTGTGAGTATGACTTCTGGCACATCAAGTCTGGTACAAAACGATTGTTTTGGACTCGTGCCATGCCGCTTTTGGCGGAAGTCTGATACGAAATGCCCGGTTGGGAGACTTGACGTGTGACTTTTGGAGGAAGTCATGAAATGCTCGCTTTGAAGACTTGACGCGTTTCTTTGGAGGAAAGTCTTAGAACGAAGTGCTCGCTATGGAGCAAGAGTCTGACCGCCAGATGTGTCGTGCGCAAAGAGTGAGTTTCACACAATGTCTCACGTTTTGGTTTCGGTGTCCTGCCGCTGGTTTTCGCTGTCGAATCCTCCCTCTGGCTGTGGCTCAGAAGGCTCGGTGGGGCACTGTGTATTTCCAGCTTCAGCTGATACTGTATTGACACATGACACTTTCCGTAACAGCTCTCAAGTGATCCCCCTTGCACAGGTCCTTATGAAATGGGGATCCTGGTGACCTATAAAATGACTTTTCCAGGACTCACTTCATAAAAAGCACAATGTTTCCGGAAATCGGAATTTTGAAAAAAAAGCCTATGCATCTTGTCTCGTCATTTCGTAAAAAGGTCGGTTTGGCTCCTGTGTACATTTTATAAACAGATATTTTTTTAACATAGAGACAGCTGGATGTTGGTTGCTCATTATATCAACCAGTAATGGTGTGAGAGAATAGAACCATGTTATGATTAAAGGTTTATAAAATGGGTTTTGACATGTTTGCCAATGGATTTAATAGTCCTTGGCAGGGGAAAGCTATTTATGAACCATTCCCTCTGCCAAAGAGCTGGAGGGTGTGGACAAATACGATGGGCCTTGGCAGGGAATATTTATTTACAAAATGGTTTGCCATCTATTTCCTGGGAGGGTGTGGACAAATACGATGGGCCTTGAGAGGGGGAAACAGGTTTATAAAATGGGTTTACCAGCTTTTCCCTGGGGGGGTGTGCACAAATACGATGGGCTTTGGGAGGTGAAAATGTTTATAA